TCCCCTTGCAAGCCATAGCATACCCATCAGGGGTGAATTTCCAATTGCCATACTCAGTGGGATTTGGGGAAGTTGTCAAACCATGCTAAAACAGTTTGAAATCTTACCATGGGACTGCACAGGATACTTCTGGCACTACAATGAGCTGTTGTGGTTTATTCATTTTGAATTGAAGCTTTGGTGATCTTGGCTTTTTTTTTAAAATCTGGTGCCTGTTTTCGTAGACCTAAAAATGTATTAAACAAGTCTTCCAGAGTCTCCCCAGTTTTTTTTCATAATTTTGTATATTACCTTTTTTATTTTTATTTTTTCCTTTAGTCCTTGTCTGCTCCTCAACCAGTGACCTCACTTCCACCTCATCAGGCTATGACTATGGTACAACCTCAGACTAGTGCCCCTATACATCATCAGGGTTTACCGCCTCCACAGGGTTTGGCACTGCCACAGGGAGTTCCACCTCTGCAGGGTATGACCCTTCCACAAGGAATTCATCCTCAAGGGCTCACCCTCCCACAAGGAATGCCAATGCCTCAAGGAATTCCACTCCATCAGCCTGTTCCGGGAGTGGGTGCTATGCAACCTCATTTCCCTGGTCCTATTAGTATTCCTCCTCCAGGGTTTGCACCAGGAGTTCCACCTCCTCCATTTATGAGGCCAGGTTTTAACCCAATGCAGTTACCTCCAGGTAAGTTACTATATATTAATTAGGATTTCTTATACTTAATTGTGAAGTTTTTAACTCTGTACTTGTGTGCATGCTTGGAAAACATTATGATGTGAAAGAAGTATTTCCATAAAGCTAGAGTCAAAATTTCACCTTCCTGATAAACTCTGCAAGTGTTCCACAGACCCCCACTACCTGTGAGGATATTCATTATGGTTTAAAAGCATCAGCTTATTAAGAGTGGCTGTGCCAGTTGATCTCTGTACCCATAGAGAAGTAAAAGGTGTGCCAACAGCTTTGTAGTGAAAGTATGAATCCACCACGAGCTTTAACTTCACTCCGGCACAATGCAGTATGGTTCAAAAACTTCCATAAACAGCCCGTATATATCCCCCCTTAACCCATCCCAAATGCATTAATCACTGAAAAGTTTAATATTGATCCAATAACTACTTTGTGATTAACTTTCAAATCAGAGGTGCTTTGTGTGTGTGTGTGTGTGTGTGTGTGTGTGTGTGTGTGTGTGCTTCTGTAAGTGTTATGCAAAATTAGATTGCTGTGTGGTGTTTACATGGTCTTTACACGGAGCAAACCGTTTTTTTTGCCTTTTACGATGTTGTTCAAAAAGATAATGGAAAAGAATGTTTAAGGGGAAAAACTATCTTTTTGAAATACTCGAGACTTGCCACAGTTAGAAAATAATATTTTTGCGAAATGTGTTAGCTTCCACATCCTCGTTTTGCCATATCACAGCTGCAATGCACAATAGCTGCCTGTGGCATTAATTGTGTGGGTTCAGTGTCCTCTATGCAGGATCCCGTTGTCTTGAAGTAGTCTTATGATTGAGAGTACATTTAGTGATGTGGACTCTTGGCAGCTTAGGCTGCCTGGTGTTTTAGACTGAGGCAGAGAGAACGTGGCAGCACTAAAGTGTTCAGGTAAGTATGTCTACTTTCAACCTTTACATCAGTCGCTATCTTGGAAGTGGAAAGTTAACCCCACAAAAAAATAAATGGATCTGCTTGACATCGGTCTGCTTGGTTAGCCTATTCCACAGTGCTGTACAATTAGGGAAATCAAAGGGGAGTGCAGGCTGAGCGAACGCTTGAAGATGGCGATGCAGGATTTAAAAAAAAAAAAAGTGCATTTCTATATTTCACATTGAACACACCATGTATGTTTGTGAAACATGGTGTTTTCAGAATATATTCGAGTGATTCCTGGTACGTGAAAATTTGCAAGACATGTTCACTTTAAAATGCGGAGTTGAGACAAGAGGGGAAGGCCAGAGAGAATTAAAATAATTTGTATGTATACAACTTTATTATACAATACAGATAGAGCTTAAATGGATACTATTGTCACCAGAATAACTACAGCTTATTGAATTTGTTCTGCGGGGTAGAATCATTACCGTCAGACCTTTTGCCGTAAACACTCTTTTTGGAGAAAATGCAGTGTTTACATTACAGCCTAGTGATAACTTCATTGCCCACTCCTCGCATAGCTGTTAGAGATCCTTCTTGGGTCATGGCTGCCTAAAATGCATTGAAACATGCAGTATCTCCTCCCTCTGCATGCAGACACTGAACTTTCCTCATAGAGATTCATTGATTCAATTAATCTCTGAGGATATGCTGATTGGCCAGGGCTGTGTTTGAATTGTGCTGGCTCTGCCCCTGATCTGCCTCCTTGTCAGTCTCAGCCAATCCTATGGGGAAGCATTGTGATTGGATCAGGCTACCACTTCTGCTGATTTCAGCAGGCAGTGGGCAGGTCTAAAGGAAACTGGGACAAAGCCAGCCGCTTCAGGCTTGTGAACAAATAAGATGTTACTATGTTTAGGGAGGCAAGAGGTGGACAGGGGGGCTAGATGGTGGTTTTAACCCTATTAGGTAAGGAATATATGTTTGTGTTCCTGACCCTATAGTGCTCCTTTAAAGTTTTCCAAACTTTTCATATCATAATTGAAGAATAAACACTATAAAATAATGAACACTAAACTGATGTTTCAAGCCATCACAATATCTTAATTGCGTACAGCACATGGAAGTCCCTCTAATCTTAAAAATCTATTTCATATAATGTTGTGATAAAGGGTTTACCAAGACCTAGCTGGTACATGAATGTTTCTCAAGCAAGAATAAGCTCTATTGAATAACAAAATGTACAGTATTTTACAGGAACACTATAGGGTCATACAAATGCATATTCCTCACCCCAAATGTAAAAAAAACATGAGGTCCTCTCTTACCCCCTTAAATAAGCAAAAAAAATGGGGAAGCATTGTGATTGGATCAGGCCACCACTTCTGATATCTGCAGACAGCTTGTTTTTCTAAGGCAAACAGCATGCAGATCTACAGCTTCAGGCTTGAATACAGTAAGATTTTGCTCTATTAATGGAGGCATGAGGGGCCATGGGGGGCTAGATGGTGGTTTTTACGAAATGTGTTAGCTTCCACATCCTTGTTTTGCCATATCACAGCTGCAATGCACAATAACTGCCTGTAGCATTAATTGTGTGGGTTTAGTGTCCTCTATGCAGGATCCCGTTGTCTTGAAGTAGTATGATTGAGAGTACATTTAGTGATGTGGACTACAGCTTATTGAATTTGTTCTGCTGAGTAGAATCATTACCGTCAGACTTTTTGCTGTAAACACGGTCTTTTCAGAGTGATGTGGACTACAGCTTAGATGGTGGTTTTAACACTATAGGGTCAGGAATTCATGTTTGTGTTTCTGACCCTGTAGTGATCCTTTAATAGCATGTTTAACATGTTGTTAGTGATGATTTGCATGTATGTATTTATTCCAATTTTGATTGAGACTTTAATGATTGAGACTTTAATGATTGAGAATATATATTTAATAATTGAATTAAAAATTGTAATGCATTCATGCAAATCTTCACTAACAAAATGTTAACATAAGCTGTATCTGTATTGTAACCGCTAATAAAGTTTTCTATAATTACAATAGATATATAAATGCACATCACATCTATCAAAAAGTTAACACAATGTTATGCTCCAAAGGAGCAAGGTAGAATACAAATCAATATACATAAATCTTTGCTCTAAAAAAAAAAAATATAAAGGTATGCATTTGGTACACGTTCCAAGCTGTCAAAGATAAAGTAATGAGTGTTAGGTGACCACATAAGGATCTTAGAGCTTCTATACAGTTGGTAGCTATTAGAAACTTCTAAAATCTTGTGATCTTGATGGTAAGGTCTTTTTGCTGCTTATACAAAGATTTGCAACAGAGTTGATCTTCCAGGAGGGTTAAGCCAAATGGCGCATGATTTAGGTAAGCAAAAAAAAAAATGGTTAGAGTTGTGGCAACAGACATTTAATGTGGAAAAGTCCAAGATAATGCATCTTGAGTGTAAAAACCCAAAGGGCAGAGTATAGAATATGTAATGCAGTGCTAACCTCAACATCTGAGGAAAGGGATTTAGGAGTAATTATTTCAGATTACTCAAAGATATAAACATAGAATGGGACAGCAGTTAAGTACCATTCGGCCCATCTAGTCTGCCCAATTTTCTAAGTACTTCTATTAATCTCTGGCCTTATCTTATTGTTAGGATAGCCTTATGCCTATCCCACGCATGCTTAAACTTGTATACTGTGTTAACCTCTACCACTTCAGCTGGAAGGCTATTCCATGCATCCACTATCCTCTCAGTAAAGTAATCCTTCCTGATATTATTTTTAAACCTTTGCCCCTCTAATTTAAGACTGTCCTCTTGTTGTGGTAGTGTTACTTCTTTTAAATATACTCTCCTCCTTTACTGTGTTGATTTCCTTTATGTATTTAAATGTTTCCATCATATCCCCCGTCTCGTCTTTCCTCCAAACTATACATGTTGAAGGAGCACTATAGCGTCAGGAACACAAGCATGTATTCCTGATCCTATAAGGTTAAAACCACCATCTAGCCACCTTGGTCCCCTCATGCCTCCCTAAATATAGTAATCTTACTTGTATTCAAGTCTGGAGCTGCTGGCTTTGTCCCTGTTTCCTTTAGACCTGCCTGCTGACATCAGCAAAAGTGGTAGCCTGATCCAATCCAAATGCTTCCCCATAGTATTGGCTGAGCCTGACAAAGGCAGATCAGGGGCAGAGCAAGCACAATTCACACAGCCCTGGCCAATCAGCATCTCATCATATTGATTCAGTAAAGGAGATTCATTGGAATCTCTATTAGGAAAGTTCACTGCATGCAGAGGGTGGAGGCACTGAATGTTTGGATGCATTTTAGGCAGCCATGACCTTGGAAAGGATCTCTAACAGCCATCTGAGGAGTGGCCAGTGAAGTTATCACTAGGCTGTAATGTAACCACTGCATTTTCTCTGAAAAGACAGTGTTTGAAGCAAAAAGCCTGAAGGTAATGATTCTACTCACCAGAACAAATTCAATAAGCTGTAGTTGTTCTGGTGACTATAGTGTCCCTTTAAGATCCTTTAACCTTTCCTTGTAAGTTTTTTGTCCTGCAATGCATGAACCAGCTTAGTAGCCCTTCTCTGAACTCTCTCTAAAGTATCAATATCCTTCTGGAAACATAGGTAGACAATGTAATAGAGCAGGAAATGCTAGCAGAGTGCTTGGTTGTATATAGAGAGAGGTATTGGCAGTAGAAAGAGGGAAGTGCTCATGCCATTGTACAGAACACTGGTGAGACCTCACTTGGCGTATTGTACGCAGTACTAGAGGCCGTATCTCCAGAAGGGTATTGATACGTTAAAGAGAGCTCAGAGAAGGGCTACTAAACTGGTTCATGGATTGCAGGATTAAGGAAAGATTAAAGGAATTTAACATGGATAGCTTGGAAGAAAGACGAGACAGGGGGGATATGATAGAAATATTTAAATACATAAAGGGAATCAACAAAGTAAAGGAGGATACTATTTAAAAAAAAAAAAAAAAAAAAGTGGTAGAGGTTAACACAGTGAGGGAGTTTAAGCATGTGTGGGATATGCATAAGCCTAACCTAACTACAAGATAAGGCCAGGGACTAATGTAAGTATTTAAAAAATTGGTCAGACTAGATGGGCCAAACCGTTCTGCTGTCACATTCTAGATTTCTACACTGCTCAAAAAAAATAAAGGGAACACTTAAACAACACAATGTAACTCCAAGTCAATCACACTTCTGTGAAATCAAACTGTCCACTTAGGAAGCAACACTGAGTGACAATCAATTTCACATGCTGTTGTGCAAATGGGATAGACAACAGGTGGAAATTATAGGAAATTAGCAAGACTCCCCCAATAAAGTAGTGGTTCTGCTGGTGGTAAACAAACACCACTTCTCAGTCCCTTTGCTTCCTGGCTGATGTTTTGGTCACTTATGAATGCTGGCGGTGCTTTCACTCTAGTGATAGCATGAGACAGTCTACGACCCACACAAGTGGCTCAGGTAGTGCAGCTCATCCAGGATGGCACATCAATGCGAGCTGTGGCAAGAAGGTTTGCTGTGTCTGTCAATGTAGTGTCCAGAGCATGGAGGCGCTATCAGGAGACGTGGAGGAGGCCGTAGGAGAACAACCCAGCAGCAGGACCGCTACCCCTCGCCTTTGTGTAAGGAGGAACAGGAGGAGCACTGCCAGAGCCCTGCAAAATGACCTCCAGCAAGCCACAAATGTGCATGTGTCTGCTCAAACTGTCAGAAACAGACTACATGAGGGTGATTTGAGGGCCCGACGTCAACAGGTGGGGGTTGTGCGTACAGCCCAACACCATGCAGGACGTTTGGCATTTGTCAGAGAACATCAAGATTGGCAAATTCGCAACTGGCGCCCTGTGCGCTTCACAGATGAAAGCAGGTTCACACTGAGCACATGTGACAGACGTGACAGTCTGGAGACGCCGTGGAGAACGTTCTGTTGCCTGCAACATCCTCCAGCATGACCGGTTTGGCAGTGGGTCAGTAATGGTGTGGGGTGGTATTTCCTTGGGGGCCGCACAGCCCTCCATGTGCTCGCAGGTGTAGCCGGACTGCCATTAGGTACCGAGATGAGATCCTCATACCCCTTGTGAGACCATATGCTGGTGCGTTTGGCCCTGGGTTCCTCGTGATGCAAGACAATGCTAGACCCATTGTGGCTGGAGTGTGTCAGCACTTACTGCAAGACGAAGGCATTGATGCTATGGACTGGCCCGCCCCAGACCTGAATCCAATTGAGCACATCTGAGACATCATGTCTCGCTCCATCCACCATCATTACGTTGCACCACAGACTGTCCAGGAGTTGGCAGATGCTTTAGTCCAGGTCTGGGAGGAGATCCCTCAGGAGACCATCCGCCACCTCATCAGGAGAATGCACAGGCGTTGTAGGGAGGTCATACAGGCATTTTGAAGCCACACATACTACTGAGCCTCATTTTGACTTGTTTTAAGGACATTACATCAACGTTGGATCAGCCTGTAGTGTGTTTTTCCACTTTAACTTTGAGTGTGACTCCAAATCCAGACCTGCATGGGTTGAAAAATTATATTTCCATTTAATTTTTGTGTGATTTTGTCAGCACATTCAACTATGTAAAGAACAAAGTATTTCAGAAGAATATTTAATTCATTCAGATCTAGGATGTGTTATTGTTGTGTTCCCTTTATTTTTTTGAGCAATGTATATAGCACAAAGTCAGAAGTTTATCTATTCTTGCTTACCTCAAATGTCCATAAAGGAATAAAAATTGTGTGTATGTATGTGTGTGTATGTATGTGTGTGTATGTATGTGTGTGTATGTATGTGTGTGTATGTATGTGTGTGTATATATATATATATATATATATATATATATATATATATATATATATATATATATATATATATATATATATATATATATTCTGTTTTAGAAATGTAACCTTTGTTGAATTTGTGATTTGATTAGACAGGAGCATTCGAAAGGTCTCGACTTTCACAGGCATGCTTCTTGGTTCTTTCTTATAGGAAGAGAGGTGACTGCCCCAGTTGTATATAAGGAATGCAAGAGGGTCTTGGACAAATTTAACAGTCAGCCCTGAACTCTTGTTTTGGTCTTTCAGCTGGGCAGGGTTACAATTTTACAAATCACTGTAGTTATAAGTCCTGCTGAGCTTTGTTTCAGTACACTATGTGCCACCTGACATTGAATATATATTTTCCATGATCTTTAAAATGTTTCCAAATTGCTTTGATATCTGAAGTGACTGTTTATTCATATTGTAACAAAAAGCATCTAATGATTTATTTTGTACTTAACTGAAAAGGTGACTCAATTATTTTTGTATTTTTTTCTGACATGGCTGCTTGCAAAGCTTTGATTTGTGATGTATCTTCTGCAGAGTGATCATGAGATATTTGCAATGTGTGTTTGGTTGTGCCAGGAATCTACTGGATTGGGATGTCAATTGTGCCGAATCTTTAGTATATATTTAAATAGCCTCTATAGTGTCAGTAGCACAAGCTAGTATTGATAAAACCACTATTTAGGTGGTCAGCCCCCATTACCTTGGTTAAGTTATTTTACTAACCTTTGTTCAGCACAGAGTATCTGGCCCCTCCCGCTCCCTACCCACCTTTTTGGCTTACATCAGAATTAATTTCAGCCAATCACAATGCTTTCCCATAGGATAATATCGGCCAAAGAGGCGGGATGAGGCTGAGTTAAACACCCCTTTTGCCAATCAGCATTTCCTAATAAAGATTCATTGAATCAATATATCTCTATGTGGAAAGTTAAGAGCGTGGAGATGCAGCAAGCACCTTGAGTGGCCACTAGAGGTGATCCTAGGCTGTAGGTAAAGACAGTACTTACATTAAAAAGTCTCCAGGGATTGACTATACTTAACAGAACAAATACAATAAGCTGTAGTTGTTCTGGTGACTATAGTGTCCCTTTAAAATAAAAATACATTCTAGATTATTTTCAATACACAGTCGTCTGTTTATAAAAAAATAAAATAAATCTGATGTGAAGTCAGTTTGGCATACCTCCTAAGTGTCCCTATTAATAAGGAACAGTCCTAATGTGGGCTCAAATCCCCCTCTCTCTTTTCTATGAGCTCTGCATTGTTTGAGTGTCTGAATGTTTACTAGAGCTCCACAGCAATAATACTGTGTCAAACTACAATAAATGTGTTAAGTCTGTGTAAGATACAACTGTTTGTCCCTAATTACATTTTAGTTGCAAAAATAATTAGTAACCTAAAATGTCTCAGAACAGCACCACTCATGGCTAAACCTCTATTCACACCCCTAAAATTAAAGTGTCCTCCTATGTCCATTTGAAATGTTGGCAGGTATGCCATTTTGCCATCCACCCTGTCCTTTGCACATCTTAGTCCTTAAAGTACTATAGATGTAAACTATTTTGTGCTGAATTGATTAAATATGTAGACATTTAGTTTATACTGGATACATGTATCGAAATGGCAGACTTTTACATTGAAGGGGCACTATAGTCACCAGAACAACTACAGCTTATTGTATTTATGTGGAGTATAATCATTCCCTTTAGGCTTTTTGCAATAGTCTTTTCAGAGTAAATGCAGTGTTTACAGTAAAGCTGAGGGATAACTCTACTGATAACTCCTCAGGTGGCTACTAGAGGTGCTTCCTGGGACAGTGCTGAACACTGTTATCAACATTCAGTGTCTCTAAGATATGCATGGAGACATTGAACTTTCTTCGTAGAGATGCATTGATTCAATGCATCTATGAAGAGATGCTAATTAGCCAGTGCTGTGTTTGACTTGCACTGGCTCTGCCTCCTTGAAAGTCTCAGCCAATCCTAGGCGGAAGCATTGTGATTGGCTCAGAATAACACTTCTGATTATGTCAGCCAAGCAGACAGATCAGGGGCAGAGCCAGCAGTTGCAGACTTGAACAAAAGTAAGATTTTACTATATTTAGATGGCTTTAACACTATAGGGTCAGGAATACATGTTTGTGTTCCTGACCCTATAGTGTTCCATTAAACCGCTTTTTCATGCAGGCTGTGTCGGGCACAGCCAGGGAAGGTGTGGAAATGGTTGCATAAACAGAAACAAAAGTGATTTAACTCCTAGAAGTGAACAGGGGCATGATCTATACAGCAAAACTGCTTCACTACCCTAAAGTTGTTTTGGTGGCTATAGTATCCCTTTAAGTCTATTTGTCTCTTTTCAATCTAGAAGTCCATCACTAAAACACTGCCAAATAATGATAAACTCGGGAGTTTTACGTACCTAAACCTGTACCTTGTAGGTTTCGCCATCATCTTCCCTGCCATTCCTGTTCTCTCATGGTGCTTCACTGGTGACGGTTGGGGGAAATGATGAGGCATTGTCAAGTGGAGGAAAAATACTTAGTCTCAGTATATCTTTTGAATCCTTTGGACGTTCAGTGAGAATGAAACACTGTTAAAGATGTTGTCTTTATAAAGCACTCATTTTGCATGTGTGGGGGGCTGACAGTGCAACTTTAAGGGAAACTTTAAACTAGAAAGGGGTGGACTAGAAGTCGTAGTTAGGAGAGTAACACAAAATATATAGAGGAAGCCCTACTTTTAATAGTCCTAAGGGGAAACGCAAGTTGTAAAATAGGATAGGGAGAGACAGAAAAGTATATATAATATCTGTAGAAATACTGCTGGGTTGGCCAAGATGAACAAAGCTACAAAAGTCTGAACCTAAACTGAGCACTGTCCCAGTCAGTATACAGAGGTCAGGTATATCCAGAGGTAAAGGGTGTAGATGAAGGAGCAAAATCCCAAACCAGAAACTCATGTAAGGTCTGTCCCTATATCACCTCTGCACCGTGGACCAGCCACTAATGCCTACCGGAACCACTCTCCCTTCCTTAAAGGACCACTATAGTGCCCTGAGGGTGGGAGAGTGGTTCCGGTAGGCATTAGTGGCTGGTCCACGGTGCAGAGGTGATATAGGGACAGACTTTACATGATCTATACAGCTCTGGAAAGGAGAAAAGGGGTAAAACTTACCTTTTTCCAGCGCTGGGCGGGGAGCTCTCCTCCTCCGATTCTCCTCCGTTCCTCCCCGTCGGCTGAATGCGCACGCGCGGCAAATGCTGCGCGCGCCTTCAGCTGGTCGCATAGGAAAGCATTATCAATGCTTTCCTATGGACACTTGCGTGCTCTCACTGTGATTTTCACAGTGAGAAGCACGCAAGCGCCTCTAGCGGCTGTCATTGAGACAGCCACTAGAGGCTTTGGGGGAAGGCTTAACCCATTTATAAACATAGCAGTTTCTCTGAAACTGCTATGTTTATAGTTTCTCTGAAACTGCTATGTTTATAAAAAAAAATGGGTTAACCCTAGCTGGACCAGGCACCCAGACCACTTCATTAAGCTGGGGGGATATAATATTATTTAGAAATTTACCAGTAGCTGCTGCATTTCCCACCCTAGTCTTCTACTCGAGTCAATAAGTTTTCCCAGTTTTTTGGGGTAACAGTAGGGGTCTCAACTTATATTCGGGTCGACTTATACTCTAGTATATACGGTAATTGCAGTACTTATAAGTAATAAAGGCAAGTCCTATTTCTATTTTTTTTTTTCTTTTTTCACTTCATTTTCAATTTCAGTACATGGATATTTAAGCAACTTTTTCTTTAAATCCAGTCCTTCAGTGTGCATAACTCTATGGTGGTCAAACTTTTGCAGAGCTTTCATAGAGTAGCAAAGAAAAAAGTTATTATCCCTATGCACATTTAAGTAAATCGAAGACTTTTAGTATCATTCCAATGGCCATTCAAGTGTAAGTACATCTGCCACGTCAAGGCAAAACCTCATAACAATTCACTAAAAATTCACCTTGCTGTCTTTAGGTGGGGTGTGTGACAGCACTCTAACATGGCTGTGTTATATAAAAGGAAACACACACATACAAAATTAAGCCCTGCACTCCTAGAATAGCATTTATCAGAAACTCGCATGACTAACAATAGCTATGGTCATACTGTAAGCTTACAGAGCTTTAATTCATGTTAGCAGCACCTCAGTATGTCAGCAGTGTTACTTACCATTAAGGTTCTCAAACTATCAAGTGTGTAGCGTTTAGGGAATATTCAAATGACTCTTAACGTTTAGAGAAACATTGCTAATATCTATAAACCAGAAAGTGTTAAAAAAAAATTTTTTTAAATACATTTGATCGTTATTTGAGTATAATTAGGTATATTAGATGGAGGAGGAATCGTTCTTAACATGCATTCAGACCTTGGATCAGAAATCCTTTTCCCTAAAGTGACAGACTGTGAAATAAAGGTTGAATATTAGATCTCTTTACAGTAAGTGTTTAGGAAGGCTGTGTATATTACTTGCAGGGATGTCTGACTAGGGTTTTAAAAACTATAAATTTAATTAAAACTGAATTAACTCCTAAATGGCAGCGCATTAAGCATTGAGACTCGAGGGGCATGATCTATACATCAAAACTGCATCATTATGCTAAAGTTGTTTTTGGTGACTATAGTGTTCCTTTCAGGCCCAAATACACTATCTGTTAAAGGGGTGTGTGTGTGTGTGCGTGCGCACTCTCTTATATTTGGATTTCTGAATTTTGATATCCATCCAGCTATCTTGGAGAGGACTGTTTTTAAGGACTTCTCTTAGTCACTGAGTTTGTAGGCTGTTGAAGTATATTTACCTTGCCACAGCAGATGTTAAACTGTCACACGTCCTCCTTTTATAGCTACAACGAAAAAAACCTTTTAAATCTGTGTTCTGGTTTTAGGCTTTCTCCCACCTCCGGGACTACTTCCACCTATGACTCCGGTTTCTATTCCTCCGCCAACATCTGCAATAAACATCCCAACTTGTAAGTTTCTATATATTGATGAGAGCCCACGGTGGTTAGTATAATACATGTTACCCCCTCGTGTTTATTACATTAGTATGTACTAAATATTTTTTACATTGCTGTAGCAGAATCTAGCAACTCTGACTATTGCGATGATGAGCAGGTTTGTTTTGACACTTTGTTTCTTAGCTACAGCAGGTGGTCAGTCTAGTGATGCAACTCAAGAGCAGGCTCATGTGAATGCCATTCAAACCGCTCCCAGCAGAGAAAGCATTGATTCTGATGATAGTGGCAATGGATTTGGGTCTTCGCCACAAGGAGGGCCAAATAATGCCCCTGGGCCTGTGAACCCACATCTCGGTAAGTTACTTTCTGTTGATCTTTAAAAATTATTTTCGGGTTTACCTATGATTTTAACATAAGGCGTGTTTGAAATGTGTTAAAAATCCATTGTGATTGTCAAAGGCATACAGTTCTGCAGGGTATTGAGGCACGTTTTATCGATCATTTTGTTAACCTATTACTTTTTTTTTTTTCAACTGCCCTATCAATGTCACAATTTAAGAACATTTTACTTTGTGCCAGAGAATTTTCACCAAATTTAATCTGTTATATTGATTTTGAAGCTACAAACAAAGTTCTATATCCATTATTTTTGTTTGTTTTTCTCTAGCTAGTTCCTCTTAATTCAGTTATTATTGTGATTATATAAAGTGTGTATCCCTGTTTTGCTAGGGGGTGATTAAGCTTCCCTTTGCAGCTTTTTTGTAGTTAAACCACCAATAATTTGATATATAATGGTGTTAAGGAATTTTGATGGGTAGGATCTGTTCGTATCCAACAGTACTGACGTGTGCTTCTTTTAAAATATCATTAGGCTGTATTGACGAGTGTAAGACATTTTCCATCTTGTGTATCTTGAGTTTTATGTACTATTAAGGTGATAACCCTTCAGTAGGGATAGAATGAGTCTTTCTCACCACATAAGCAGTGCATGTTATCTTTAACAGCAAGTTAGTACTTCACTGTAAACTGACTAATTTATACAGCTGTGATCTTTATAGTCCTTGTGAATGTTTGTTTTTTTTTGTTTTTTTTTTCACATAATGAATTCAAATCTAAAATCACTGGCTGCTGAGCTTGTCCTTTTTCTTCCCTGAGTGCTGCCATTTCATGTGATCTTTAGGCTAAAGCACTATTTAACTCTGAAGATCACTCCTCTCTAGTCCTACTGCTCAAACTGTGTTGCATGGTATTTGGTGCTGTGAGACTGTGATTCTTGCAGCTAGAGAATCTCCATCTATTTATGAGAACCACTGACCACGGCACCGAGTGTGCGACTTGAAAACCTATTAGGACAAGGTAAACCGTGTGATCCTCATTAGGTAAGCAGTGTTTGATCGAAAAAACACATGAAATTGTTATTTTAAGGGAGAGAAGGGTTTTAATTAGTACATTTACATTTCAGTGACAGATTTTCTCTAAGTTTAAAAAGTTGTAGTGTTCCCCACAACAGGAAATGGATTACCTAATGGATTAGGTAAAATGTAAAGAGCAATACTGGGACGACGTTCTGAAAGTGGACCACTCACAGTGGAAATAATGTTTTTACATGTTATTCCACACTTACCACTTCATTCCTCATTTTGTTCTCCTCCCATACATAAACTTTTGAGCCTATAATTTACACGAGCTAGCCTTGAAATACTACTTATGTTTTGTGTTTTTTCATTTGCAACTACTTGAATTTACATAAGATTACTAGAAATCAGTTTGTAGTATTTGATAGATGCTGATTTAGGACCTTAACTCAGGATAGGCACTGACCGATGATTTTTTTACATTATAGTATAAAGCAAAAAAATATTATTTGTAGCTTAAATGCAAATGCCATGCAGATCACTGTCAAATTGCTTTTTACACAATACAGTCATACTGTGAATTGTATGCTCATGGATCTCTGATACTTACACTGCACATTAGAGGTTTATTGCAGTGGTGCTCTGATGCTCATATACATTACACATTACTGTGAGGCTAATTGCTGTGATACACTTATTCACATTGCAAATTATGATTTTTATTGCATAGGTGCTCTGTGATAGTCATACACATTGCACATTACTGTGAGTCTGAGGGCCTGCTGCTTACACTAAAAACACTGAGCCCCCATACAGCCTTACCCTCTGTGCCTATTCTTCCAAAGACCCACTTTTTCTCTCCTTTTATTTGTATTTATTTCTTTGTATTGTCTACAGCCTGATCTCTCTATAATGTCTGTATGTAAATATCCCAGCAGAGGCATCTTGTGGAGTGCTTACCCTTTTTTAAAATTATTATTTTAACTGGAGTACTGAAGAGTCCAGCGCTGCTGCCAGTTCTGAGTTGAATCGGTCTCTGCTTATTTGCTTGCACAGACCAGCTTCTGTGTGGTGTAACTTGTGGTCCTTACCGAAAGCAGATGCGATTAAAAATGTAATTTTCCTCTAATGCTCAGTAAGAATCATTGCATGTTGCACCATGAAGACTCTGGTCTGTGCAGATTTAGAGACCTGGTAAGTGTGTCACTGGAAGTATGCGTAGTCACACACCGGTGATTGCTGTTACCAAATGGTCTGGGACTGCCTGCTATATTGTCTGCTCAGGGGGGAACCACAACTGATGTATGAAAAAGACATCTGAGGCTGGTGATAATGGTTTTCTTTTTATTAGACACTTTCGATACAGTCTAAGGTTATTTACTAAAATGTGAATTAAACGTGAGCTTTAAATTTCAGGTCAAACTTGGAAAATAATCTGAACGGTAAGCATCGAGTTCAGTTAAATATGAATTCACTTTGAATTCTCGCTTTAGTAAATAACTCTGTAAGTCACACATTGGCACTAGCTTATATTACGAGACAAATGACCAGATGATACATACAATCACAGTGGTAAATATGGTGGTATGAAGCCATGCAAAATTACTTCATAAAAAAAATATATATAACTCTGACATACGCCAGGATCCCATACTAGTGGACTTCCTTTACCTGAAGTGTAAAATGTTTGCAAGAGACCGCTACTTATTGAAATACGTGCATTCGATACTAGTGGAGTGCACGTGGAGGGACACCATTCAGATGCCATCCGCTGATCTGTTGAAGATGCACTTTTAGGACTAGTGTACTGAACCCCAGTAAAAAGCTTTCTATTAAGGAAGCACGTTTTCTGTATCACATGAGTTTTATGGGTATCTCACTGGACACTAGAAGAAGTTTTTAAGATGAAGGGGTCACATTAATTACAACGCAACTTTAGAGATGTTCATTTTCAAAGTGACATAGGAATCAAAATGATTGGACAGCATCAGAAAAAAAGGTAAGTTGCACAGCAGTAAGCTTTGAAGAGCACACTTTCAGATTCACAAAACACATTCACTGAATACATAACACTTTTTTAGTTTTCCTTTTTTAATAGTGATGTTCAGTGTTTAATCTGAAATTAGAACTTTATTTGAAAAGCCGTAGGATTGATTCCTATTTGGAAGGTGCACAAAGTGTGTATCTTAAAATAAATGTAAAAAAACACAACACACTGGAAACCAGTTCAATTATGTTAAAATAACCCAGTGCAGTTGGTCAACAAAGAGTGGACTTCATGTAGACATCTTAGGGCAAAGCTTTAGTGAGGTGGTGGGTATTGGTTGTCTATTATACATGGAATAGAAAGGATTTTAAAACATTTGATAGGTGTTCTGTTTTAATGTCTTTTATAATTCTGGATGACTTTGGGAGAAGGCTACTAATTCAAGTTATTCACTTTATATAGAATGGCGTTTTGTGCTATGTGAATATATACATTGTCTCTTTTATTAAGCATAAGACATTCAGATCTGATATATATATATGAAATAATGCACGCTCAGCCTATGCTTAAAATTGAAGTGAATGCTGGCTTAGATATTGTGTTAGGACAAATCTAAGGTGTTGGGATTTATTGTGCCGGTACAAAAATACCCTTGCTCCCACTTTTCTTTTGAGACTTCAAGGTTTTTTCCCCCTTAAACGGGAACCTGCCCTTCCTATGGATTTTTATATTGATCATCTGTATTTAACTATGTATGTTATATCTGAAAAGTACAATTAAATATAGAAATCCACACAGCTGTGTCTAGCTCTATCCTGGAACTGAGAACCTTGGTTCCTTGTCAGTCATTGATATACGACACTGTCTTTTGCATGTGTCAGTAAGCCTAGAGAGAGAATTTTCCTCTTCCAAATCAGTATGTGCATGGAGTGAACTGGTTTGTGTTGTCAGTTGGTACATTTTTACTATTCATGTAAAAGAAAATTAAGCATTACATGAAATATTTAACACAAGCTAGAGGTCAATTTCAGTGCCTTAATCAATGGTTTAATTTCAGATGAAATGCTGGTTGCCGTTAGTGGTCTGTATTTTGTACCTAAACCTATATTTGGCAATATCTTTACATTCTAATAATTAAATTCTGTGCATATAAAAAGGGTGAAAGGGATACACATTTTAATAAGTAATTTAGCAACTTTATAATTTATGGTTAAAGTGTGAAACCCATATAAATGACGGCTAAAATGTTGTCACACAGCAAATCATATGACATTTTCCTACAAGTCACTTAAACACTCCTTAAAAAGCCAGATAATGTAGTAGACAATTAACTATGAAGCACAACTTTCTGGCACATATTAATATTTTTCTTTGACTGTAGAAGACAGCATTTTGTAGACTGAAACATAAATATGCAAATGAAGATAAAGTGACACCACACTTATACATGTGCAAGTTCAACTCTGATTCTAGAAATCAATCATTTAGAAATCCAATTCTGGAGCAAATGCTATTGCTTGAGATGTGGTCGGCTGCGTCTGTTTGGACTTTACATTAACAGTGGTGCTTTAAAGGTTTTGAGTCTTTCTTTTTTGTTTGGCAGAAAATTAAAACTCAAAACCTTAATTTGCATAGTGTACACTTTGTTCTTTAAAGTTTACATGGTAGGATGTCCTTTATTCACAATGTACTGCCTTATTTTAAATAAAGTTTGTTTTTATAAATATGTCCAGTGTCTAGTTATTAATGTAGTATGTGAAACGGTAATGTAAAGCACTATTACACTGCCATATTTTTACCTTGAACTACAGATTCTGTTTTTGAGGCGTCACCAGAATGGACTGCTTGGTCATATACCATATTTTGAATAACATTCACCTTTAAAAAAAAAAAAAAAAAAACACTGACCAAATCTCCAGGCATTTTTAAAAAGCTACATTGCTACCAAATACATTCCCTTCAAAGCCTCAAACCTGCCCTATAGCTTTCTTTCCTCTTTCATTTCAATGAAACATTTTAAACACACCTTTATAATTACAGCTGTTTTTTTCCCAGTTCAAGTGTTTTACATGAATTATTAGTTTCCATCATGCATTAAACACAATGCAAAAGGAGGTAAGCACTTGCATATTTTTATTGGGAATTACTGTTACTACGTTCTTAGTGACCTGGGTTTTTTTGGGGGGGTGTTTTTTTATGATAGTTATATGGTTGCACACACATGAACATTCTATACATTTTTATTAGTAAAATAAATTTGTATAGGTTACCCCTGTAGTATACTGTAAGTGTTGCTAAAATGATCTAGATTTTAGTTGTTTATTACTGTTATCAATTTAGCCTATCCTCAATTCTACCTTTTTACACATGTACACTTTTCTCACCATGTAAACATTGGACAGGGTTTATAATGTTTGTCTTTTAAATGATCTGGAAAGAGGCTACTTGCAGGTCAATGCTTGGTGCTTCAAGAAAATGATGGGTGATTAAAGCTAAGGTACCCGTTAAGACCTTATGGTCACATGTTCAATTGCTGGTACTGCCTGTCTGATCTCAGAAGATAATTACAATGGATTTGGATATCTTTGAGTAATGGTCATATGAATGCACTGACACTTTAGTATGGGTAGAAGGGTCAGGACATAGGTGATTACAAAAGTACTAATTAAAAAAAACAAACACTAAGCTTGTGCATTAGTCGATTCATTGAACGACTCAACTTGCATATACCCACGGTTGATTAGTTTACAAATATATTGATCCATTTAAAACTAAAGTGCTTCTATGTCAGAAAAACTACTAGCTGTCAAACGAACAGAATGATGCACATGCCTAAAAAATAGCCACAGGTGAATGTGATTTTAGAAAAAAAATTTTACAAAAAAAGCGGCAAGGGGATGGGCGTCAGAAATTTTTCTAAAATGTGATGCTGCTTTGGACCTGGCATATATTTATAGACATCTAAAATTATCTGGGCATTTCTAATTACTTGTAGTGTCTCCTCCTCCCAATCGTTTAATTTTTGCCTAAATGTATGCAATTGTGAGTTTGCACAGTCCTAATAGAAAAGAAATGTCACTTTTATGACAGAATGCCAGCAGTTGCAGTGTTTAAATGTATGTAAAGGTTGCTCCTATTACCTTACACACAATCAGTGTATATTTGCGGGTAACCTAATCCCCAATGGATTAATTATTCCTAACAAGGTATTCTAAGAGTACTTTTTATGGGGATTTTAACCTCGTTTTAAAGAGACGGTCTCTGCAGCCATAGAATACATCAGATACCAACTAGTTTGTTTATAGTTTAGTTTTACCCAAAAATGAGCTTTGACCATCTTAGTCACTAGCATTGCTTATCCTTGTTCACATATTAATGGATAATTTCAGTCAAGAGGAAATCACCATTTTAGGGATTGGCTTCCATAATTCAGTACAAGCAGAAGGAAGAAGAAGATTGGAAGACAAATTGGTCTTTAGAAATGGTAATATCCCACATTCATTCCCCTGTGGAATTGACTTGAAAGTGTGCAAGAACATTCAAAACGAAAACTGGTTGGATAAACTCATGTAATTATTATTTTGGGGGAGACCAAACTGTTCCAAGATACTTCTATCATTAAAACTAGCTAACATGCAATTCTGTTTTACTTATGGAAAGATTACATTTAATTGCAGAGAATATTCCATCTGCAGTTCTAGAATACTGTTATACCAGTCATGGAACATATTAGTTTTATATTTAAAATAAAGAGAGAAAATGTGTATCAATCCAGCATCTTTAAAAGGACACTCTGAACTCTATAACCATTATAACTTAATGTACTTCTGGTATGATTAAATAGTTATAATATAATCATTTAATTCATGCCATTTTGTTATCTTTGAATAAATTGCAGGTGCCACCTTTTGGGTACTTGTATGGCGTGAGCTTGTTGAACTTCCAGCTGGGTAAGAGCACTGGGCCTGCTTGTAGTCTGCTCATCTTACCTGATGGTTGTCGAACAGGCTAGTAGCTGACAGCCCAAGCAAGCATAGCTCTCTGACTTGGGCAACATACAATGCACCGTTATTTCAAGACCAGAATACTTATGCAGGCATGATGGCTTTAAAATATTTCACTAAAATGACAAAAGGAGTTTGGAGTTTGGGTGTTTAAGATGCATTCAAATTTTGAACACCAAGTTTTTTTGTTTTTTTTTAATCTGACTGCAATAAGTTGTAGTGGTTATGGTGCATAGTGTCCCTTTATGCAGGAGAAAAACTAGTTTAATCTGACTGCAATAAGTTGTAGTGGTTATGGTGCATAGTGTCCCTTTATGCAGGAGAAAAACTAGTTTAAGAGTTACACCTGCTAGCAATCTTATTAGATATACATTTTTTTTGTATGGAATGTGTTTTGCTTATCTGGTTAGATGTTACTGATTGGATTCTATTTGCAGCCATGTAATGAATCTCCCACTGAACAACTTTATTAAGCATAGAATAAAATAGAGCTAGGACTTTTAGGAAACTATAGATTAAACAATTATGTAAAATGTTTATAAGATTTCTTGGGGTAGTGTGCTTGGAATCTGTCTCAAAAAATGGTGCTACATAATTTTTTTTGGTCTCTAGCAACTGTTATAACCAGTTCAGCTCATCATAGTGGCTATGGTGTATTGGTGCGACCCTTGGATTTCTGCCAAAACATGACGAAAATCGGGGTGCCCATAACCTTCTCTGTTTCTGAACACATAGTGGGTTAGTCCAGCACACTCAGTCCATCATTACTATCCAAGACTGTACATATTAGCATGTGCAGAGCAGCGTTAAATGCATAATTGAAAAACAATTTAATCATAGTTTTTGTCAACCTTGTTTTCAGGGATAAAAACAATACTATAAAATAGTGATTGTGATGAAAACTATAGCGAAAGTTGATAACATTTTTGTCTAACGACTGAAACTAAATCAAAATTTGCGGTCAAAATTGACTCATAATTTAAAGCAAAAATTCAACTTTTATACAATAAGCTATTGGCTGTAAAATGCCATTGCACATATTACCTGAATGTAGAAAATAAAACCGTTATCTGCTGAAGGGACCTGCATCCCTTGTTAGGCAATTGTCTTGTTTAGAATGTATCTTTCATTAGATCTCAGTTGACTAATTCTACTGTAGATTAAGTAAATTTAGATATTTAGTCAGCTGAAACAATTCAGGTGACTAAAACAAAAAATACTGCAGAGGAAGTATGCTATGGGTACTGTGGTACACCCAACCTGCTTCAAAAGTTTAGCAGAAAGCAAAGGTGGCACTACTATACCATAACCACTGCATTGAGCTTAGTGCCAGTTTTTATCGACCATACGCATTTGCTATTTTCTTCAATTTGTTTTTATCAACAGACAAAGTTACAATATAGAAATAGTGATTAAGCCCTTTTTTTTTTTTGTTTATTGAATTGTGATTTTAAAGAGAAGATTTTGATAGTTCTGAGGAGTTCTTTGCATGTTGTAATCTGGTTATTTTGGCATCTTGTCAACTGTACTAATACAGCTAATCTTTTCTACAGTATAATTTAATACACATTCACGCTTGTAATGGTGGACAGAAATGGGTTTTACAAGCTAAAAAAAGTTTTCTCACTACATTCATCATTTAAAGGGATTAGAAACACTCAGCCAACCTATTGCTGTCGCCTTGTTTAGTTTTTATTTTTTAACACTACTTTTGGTTAATTGTTTTGTAACAGGCTTTGTAGTTAAATCCTTCCAGATTATGAAACGGAACATTTACAGAATGGTTTAGAACAGATTGTGGTCTTTGACTCAGGTTGTATATAGTCGTGCTTTCTGTACTAGATTTTCTCGATACAATTTACATACACACTTCTGTAGGATTCGTTTTAAGATCTGTAGGTTTGGATGACTTAATGATTGCAAGACCGTGTTCATAATCATATTTATTTATTCCAATTGGGTTTTCCCCCCAACTAGACTCTTTTCTGTGTGAGATAAAGTAACATGGTTATCAGCTTACAGAGCTCTATAAAACAAGCTAAGCAGTTACATATTGCTGTACTTGGTCCTATACTGGATGTACCAGCCGTCTGGAAAAGCCCCTGCTTAATATGGTCTCTGGTTTTGATGGAAAAATCTAAAAATTGTCTAAAGAATTTGAAGGCCTTTTAAGTTAGTCTTGGAATGAATATGTTGTTGTAGCACCTTTTATTTGCCAACCATCTATGGAAGCTTCACACATGATAGAAGATAATTGCAACAACCTCAGATGTGCGGACAAAGAGTACTGATGTACATCTGTCAGGTGGTACCCAATTAATATCCGAACTGCTCAGGCCAAATAGCCAACCAATAAATTAAATTCTGTACATGAGGTCTCAGAACATCTCTTTATGAATGGAAGGGGAATAAGGCAAAGTGAAGGATTCTCGTAAATGCCTGGATCGGTAAGTGCAACTCAAGTCAGCCACCTTATACTGCACTCACCACTTATCAACACTGGTCATATCTTTGTGGCATTAACAAGCAAGATGCAGGGATGAAAATAAAACTGCAAGTATCCATCACCCATTACTGGTGAAGAAGCATTGTTACCCATATGAGGAGCTCTGCAAAATACCAAAGTAAACAGAGTTTGTGGGGTTTTTTGTTTTGTTTTAACTGGAGTGTGCTAGTTGGTTGGCTGTTTAAGGGCTTTATATACTTAGTTACTGTTAAATATCCTACAGAACGTCTGCCCTTACCTTTTCCCCACTTATGTTATACAGAGTAATGTTCTGCAGGGCATGTCTTATTTTCTTACTTTATACCTTTATTGTTGAGATACATTTGGAATCTGTGTATATTGTCTATACACTTCATATTGCTTAATGCCAGCACTGACCATGTTTAATTTCATAAGTAATGCCATTATGATTTCTATTCCCCAGAAATATGTAGACAGTATGATCTTTGTAAACAAGTTATGCAAACTGACACCAATAGTAATCTGAAACTTTTTATGTAAACTGATGCTAGCATAAATATAGAACATAAGCACTTTTCCTTTTGTCTTTTACCAAATAATATAACTGTAATGTATCATAAATAATATAACTGTAATGGTACATTCATTTAACAAACATTGCAATTATGTTATGGTGTGCAAAATAAGACTACTTTAGCCATGCTTGTAAAACTCTGTTTAAACAGCAATATGTATTTAAGGGTGGATCTCAAATCGTAACCAATTCAGGTTACTATCCTGAGTTATATTCATTGAAATTCAAATTTTCACAAATTATGTAAACAGAGGTGAAATTCGCAAAAATTATGACTGGCTGATTTGCATTTTTCAGCAATTTTTCATTTTTTTTGTCTGTTTTTCCATTCATATCTAATTATCAAAAAAAAAAAGTGTAGTGAATTATATTGTATAGATCATGACCCTGAAATCTCAATGCACAGTTAGGTGTTAAGTCACTTTATCCAGCCCAAGTCATACTTCCCTGCATGTGACTTGCAAACTCTAAACACTTCCTGTAAAGAGATGTTTAAATGTACTTACTTGCACAGACTGTTAGAATTTCTCATCACCAACTCGGCTGGTAGCTTTCTAGGCTCTGGAGTGTGATTAAAAGCCAATTTACAGAGCAAGGCATGAAAATCCTCTAAAGCAAGTTAAGATCTGATTGAAACTGTAACTATCTTTTTATTGCATGTTGTAAGTCACAGCCAGGTGAGATGGAACTAGGGTTGCATGGTGAGAAACATACGTGATTTAACTCCTAAATGTTAGAGGATTGAGCCGTGAAACTGCAGGGGCATGATCTGTACACGTAACTGCGTCGTTTAAGTTCTTTTAATGCCTGTAATATCCTTTTTAAGTATGATTGTTCAATGTCACTGTTCAACTGCATGTTTCAATACCATTCATATGAATAGGCCCTGAAGTTTGGTTTTGTTTCTTGTTCCTGCAAAATGTACTTCCTGTGTGACATGTCTGTTCCCTACAATAATACAAAAAAATTGTGATACTGGTTTACTAGTCTTCATGACCAGTGATTTATCAGGACTATTATGACATAAAGGGTAACACCTAACTTGTTACGGTGGCATTAGAAACTGAAGCATTAGACTGTACACACGCTTCTGATAAAATAAGTCACAATGTGTTATGTAAGTTACACCCTTTTGATTTTAAATCTAAGCTTGTCGGCGATCATGAGGTTACTGAAGCAAGGGCAGCACTGATTGCTAAATACTACATATGTTTAGGTGAGGCCATCTGTCCACAAACTGGGCATATTATTATGAATTTTAAGTGGCTCTACTCCCAACACCCCCACCTACCACAAAAATAGCATTTTCTAAAGATAAAATCTTAATGAAATGCTCATAAATACTATGTAATTCCAACCCAGCCAAAACATATGACAAAGTAGTCCTTACTTTGTCTTATGTATTTTTCCACTTGACAAAGTTTTAAAGAGGCAGAGCTACCTCTGTCAAGAGGGGGATGAGACTGCCTATGGAGAATCCTGTGGTGTTGCGGGATCCTACAATGACAGTGTTGTACTCTTGCGCATGTGCAAGGATACAGACTGGCTACAGGCAGATGAGGCACCTGGAGCTGAAGAGGACTTCACAGAAGAAGATGGTAGCGTGTGACAGGTTCGGGTAAGTTTAAAAATGACCTCCCACTGCTTCCTGAGGTTATTGGAATGCAAGTAGAGCAGCCACTGTCTGGAGTCTTTAGAAAATGTGAGCTGCTTTAATATTGGCTACACCAGTATTAATCAGGGGGTAAAAACTAAAAGGGAAGATCCTCCATCATTTCTAAATTTCCCTATGAACACTATGCAAACATTGGGTTTAAAACTGATGGTTGTGTTTATTAACCCCATGATGACTAGTCCATTTTTCAATTTAGGACCCAGGGCTGTTTTTAAATGTCTGGGGGGGCGGAGGGTTGTGTTTAGCTGTAATTTTCCTTTTACTGTACCCACACACATTATATACTGTGTTTCTCGCCATTAAATGGTCTTTCTAAAGATACCATTACTTTCATCATATCATATAATTTACTTTAAAAAATTTTTTTTTAAATATGATGAAAAAATGTATTAAAAAAATCCCAGTTTTTCGAACTTTCACCCCCAAAATCTGTTCTGCATCTACAACCGCCAAAAAAACACCTGTGCTAAATAGTTTCTAAATTTTGTCCTGAGTTTAAAAATACCCAATATTAACACGTTCTTAGCTTTTTGGGGTTTATTTTTTGTGTGCAAGTTATAGGGCTATAAGTACAAGTAAAATGTATCAATTGTGACATTGTAACACTTATCTGTAATAAATCTCTGAATCACACTTCACATTTACATATGTTTTTTAAAGTAGACAGCCCAGGGTATTTATTATGTGGTATGTCCAGTCTTTTGTAGTAGCCACTTAGTCACAAACACTGGCCAAAGTTAGCATTTATATTTGATCGTGTTAAAAATGCAAAATACTATTATGAACGCAAACTTTGGCCAGTGTTTGTGGTTACTAAAAAAGACTGGACATACCCCATTTGCAACACCTTGGGTTGTCTTCTTTTGCAAATGGTATGTCATCATTGGGGTAATTCTCATACCTAGGCTACCATATGCTCTCAAAGGCAACGTAACCAATCTGGCAAATTTCAATGTGAAAAAACTGAAAATAAAGCCTTATATCGTCAGTGAAAGTGCTGTTTGGGTGTGAAAAAGGCAAAAAAACTCACTTTCACTGACAATATCATCGCTGTGAAATGTTTCACTGTTATGAAACACTAATATTTGTATTCAGCGAAGTCTCCCGAGTAAAACCGTAAACACCATGTACAGGTTTTAGGGTGTCTTGGAAAGTTACAAGGTTAAATATAGTGCTAGCAAATTAAATTCCATGGACTTTCGGCCTGGGTTGTCAGGCAGGCCCCTCAAATTGCAATCAATAAAAATATTTATGTAAAAATATTACGTAAATATGCATGTAGAATTTATATATTTGAAGTTTACCTGTATATTTATGTAATTATGTATATTTCGTATTTTTATTTATAGATACATAGATATAAAATTTCATTCTACGGGTAGTTTGAGATATATATATATATATATATATATATTAATATCAAAAAAGTTAGAAAAAAATTACATATACATTTTTAAAATTATGTGTGTAATTTTACTGTGTATTTTTATATTAATATACGTATATATTAATAAAAAAAATACACTTAGTATGACATGCATGATATATATTATATATAGATATAATATATGTATATGTATTTTTTATAATTTATTACACTTTTTTTTTTTTTTTTACTTTTTTTTTCACTAGCAGGGGGTCTGCAGGCAGATGCCTGGGCGCCTATTGTGGCCATGTGACTGCTCTTTTAGAGCGTTCACATGGCCCATGGGGTCTTATTTTGCTGAGGGCGGGCTGTCAGACAATCCCCCTCCACCCCCACTCCCCCCCCCAGTGAAGAACACCACCGATTGCTGGCAGGGGGGCGGCGGCGGCGGCGATTGGGTAAGTACATGGTAAGTAATTCATTTTTTATTTTTTTTTTAACTATTAAATTCTTCACTGAGTGCCTGGACCCCTCGAGGCACTCAGCACAGGCAGTGAGGAGGGGGTATTGCAGGATGTCTAGGCATCACTGCAATACCATCAGAGCGGCTGAAAGAGATCATGATCGCTTCCAGTGCTCTAATTCCCCATGGATGTATCGGGTACGTCCGAGGTGGTTAACAACAGTTTTTTGTCGGGCGTACCTGATATGTTCAAGGTCACTAAGGGGTTAACCCCAAAAACCTATTGCTCATTGTAGTGTATATATTGTAAAGAGTTAGTGGGAGTTTGGGCTTAATGACTGGTTTATTCATGAATTTTACATTTGAGCCAAAATAGCCAAACTGAAAACAGAATTCACTTCTAACTAAGGTGTTTTGGCCTACATTTTGAATTTCCATAAATTTCTACTTTAGTGAATTGCTAAGAAAATTCAACCTCTTGGTTTGCTTCTAGTTTGTTACAGAAGCAGTTTATTATAATTTAGCACAGGTGAGATAAAGTTCAGTTTAGGGGGAATTCTTTTATTCTTACAGAGTTCAGTCATTTTACGAAGACCGTTTTGCTTATACTATTTTGTACTGTGTGAAGTTTTAGAAATCTGACACATGCATATTGAAGTCATTTATGTATTTAAACGAAGAATTGCAGTTTACTTAATAACATAACGGTGAGCATTAAGCCCTATTTAAAGTGAAACTTTAGTGGTTATGGTGCTATGATCCCTCTTCCACCTAAGTAGTTAAACCATTTTTAGAATGGTTTAACTTTATTAGCTGGGGTCCTCTGGGTGCAGGTCTGCGAGAGTCAGGAGCTCTCTTCACTAAGCATGATGGTGCAGGGCTTACCTCAGGAGAGCTAATAGAAGCGCCTGGCAGGTTTGACGGGGGCACTCTTGGCTTCATAACCACTATGGCACTGAGCAAAAACATAAAAGGAACACTATAGTGTCAGGGATCCAAATATGTATTTCTGTCACTATCATCCTGAAGTGACTGATTAGATGCCCCCACGCCATTCTCCCTAAATTAAAAAAAAAAATAAGGGATTTTACGTGCCTTTCCCCCACCAACAACCGGTCTCGCTGCAGCTGGCCTCCCCTCCATGGCAGAGATTATCAATAGAGGTGATCTCAGCCAATCCAATGTTTTCCCCCAGGAAAGCATTGGAAGACTATTGTGCATGTACAGGAAAGTGCTGTGCCGATCAGCATCTTCTCATAGAGATGCATTGAATCAATGTATCATTATGAGTAAATTTTAGTGTCTCCATGCAGAGCGTGGAGACTCTGAATGTCGGTGCTGCACATTGTCCAGGAAGCACTTATAGTGGCCGTCAGAGTAACTGTCGCTAGAGGTGTTACCAGGCAGCAATGTAACACATTCATATTTAAAAACCTGCAGGGTCAGGCAGTAGACACCAAACTCACTACATTAAGCTTTAGTGGTTGCGGTGACTCTAGTCTTCCTTTAAATTGTAGCTTTTAATTTTGTCAGTCTCAAATCACAAATTGAATGTTAAATGCCCCTCTTTTGGTAGTATGGTCACATTGCATTATGTACGTCAACAATGTTGGCTTTTTAAAAAATGTGGTGTGTTTTTTCACCAAACACAATGTTTGTGAATTGAAACAAAATTTAGGGAAAAAATAGCTTGTTTGGAAAAACTAGTTGTGCAGTGTTTACGCCTAAATCTTGCAAATTTGTATTCCGTTAGTTTGTTATACAGTAAATACATTTGTGATGTTTCTGTTAATAGATTTTATTTTTATTTGCAATCTTTGTAAAAAATTTTTAACCTGCTTATGACTTTACCAGCTGAAAAGGATTAAAAAACAAACAAAAAAAATAACTACGGTTTGTCTCATTTAGAAGATGTTTATTTAAGCTAACAGTACACTCTCTTCTATGTTAACACGTACAATAGAATCCTACAAGGTGTAGTTATGGATAAAAAAAAATTTGAAAATGATTGTAGCCAAGCCAGAAAGTCTTCTATGATTTAGCTTGTTAGGTAAAATGCATAGGATTTCTGTTCTTCATAGAAAAGACATATGTCTGTGCATTTATACTCTATCTAAAATAAATTTAAAAAAAACAAGTAAGGCCAAGGACTCACGCTGTTTACATATTGCTGCATTTGTAAAATAAGCATAGCCTATGTTGAGTTTACCCTGACAAACCACAAAGTAACACTATTGTGTAAGGAATACAAATCTGTATTTCTGTCGCTCTAGTGCCCTAGTCACTGTTGAGGTTACTGGGCCAGCACTGCCAGGCTTAAAAATGGGGGTTTGTTTACTTTTCTCCCTGGCAGTGATGGTCTCTGGTGTGTAGCTCTGATAAATGGTCTCAGACAATCTAATGCTTCCCCATAGAAAAACGCAGAGCTGTGCCACTATGATGGTTTCTCTATTAGATTATCTGATTGAAATAGCAGGGTTTTATACTATTTCACGGTTTCGTCTCTAGTATGATGACCACTAGGGGCAGGTTAACCCAGCAAAGAAAAGAACAGCAATGTTTTTAGTTACAGGGGTGCACATGGCACCCAGACCACGTACTTGAGATGAACTGGTCTTGGTGCCTATAGTGTGCCTTTTAAGGACTTGAAGGCTCAATTTAAAAATCTACAGACCACTACTCATGGTCTGAACAGGCAGAATACACTTACACTTTTGTTTCTTTCTCTTTTTTTTATGTTTGAAATTTACTAATAGTAAAAGTTATTAAAATTCCTTTTTTCCAGACCTTCACTTATGAGTTCTCCTTTCTCACGTGAATGATTGTTTAGCTTTCTACTAGTGTGTGATTTTGTTCATGGTTCCCCATTTGTTGGGAATAGTTTTGCGATATCCCCCCTTGAGGTGGTAAAATGTCTATACTTTGTTAAAGCTTCCTGCTTTAGTTTACTTTCATGGTTCTGACCTATGCCCTTGATGTTTTCAGACCATCTGGGTAGGATCTTTTACCATTAGTCAGAATTCTTTATTTTCTTTAAGGGAATATCCAGTCTTCAATAATTCTTTATTTTTAACATTAGAATTATCCTATTTGTGTATAGATAAATGCCCAACTAAGATAAAGTGCCTTTGGTGCTTAGTGCTCCCTAAAGGTAGGAAAATTCTAAAAACCTACAAAGTTGTTCATTTTGCTTGTATGAATAAGAATTCCATTCCAGTCGTTTCACATTTGTAAATTTATGATAGCTAGGCTTCCCTGCGTGACTTTGAAAAAAGGTCCATAGTGAAGGGGTTTTGTATTTAATTTATTAGTCACACTTCTTTGTACTCCTTTAAAGTTTTTAAAGCTTTTTTTCCAAGGTGTCTAGGTTTACTTAAGCATTAACATGAAATGCAAACAGGGAGTGTTGTCCTCGATAGATGACACACAAATAGAATCAGGAGACTCATTTTCGTAAGCAAATATATGAATATGATGCATACACGTGAAAGTCCAGTTTCAACGTATGTGTTTTGGGCGGTTTGTTTGGTTTTTGTACATTAACTTAAAAGGTTAATGCCACCTTTGTTTAAAGCAGGGGTTCTCAACGTTAGTCCCAGGACCCCCTACCAGTCCAGGGTTTAGGGATTACCTGGGTGTGCCTAAGGTGTTTAGAAAAAGAAAAAAAAAACACCAAGGTGTTTTTTTCCCTTTTTCTAAACACCTGAGACACACCCAGGTAATCCCCAAATCCTGGACTGGTAGGGGTCCTGAGGACTGGGTTGAGAACCCCTGGTTTAAAGGGACACCATTGAAGCAGCTGTGGTGTATAGATCAAGTCTCACTTCTCAATTATGTCATTTAGGAGTTAAATCTTTGTTTATACAGCCCTAGTCACGCCTCACTTGCATGTGACCTATACAGTTTCCTACACATTTTCTGTAAAGAGAAATCTAATGTTTAAACTTATTTTATTGCGCATTGATATTTTTGCAATTTATCTTATGCTCTGTTAGTAGCCTGCATGAGCCTCCCTGGTGTGATTAAAATTCTATTGACAGAACAGGAGATGAAAACTTCTGGAGTTAACACATTGTGCTCATTGTAAATGAAACATATTTTTTCCTGCAGGCTGTGTAAGTCAAAGACCGGGGAGGTGTGGCTAGGGTTTCACGGACTGATAAAAACATGACTCCTACTTCCTAAATGGCAGAGAATTGAACAGTGACACTGCAGGGACAATCTATACACCAAAACTGCTTCATTTTGTTGGGGTTCTAAGAGTATCCCTTTAATATGTGGAGCACTGAGCTAACATTAATTGTAAATTTTACAAATTTGCTTGTTCATAAGATAAAGTGGTACATACTAGACTTGGGAACAAATAATTTACTCCCCAAACGCATTGATTTGTCCGGGATTTACGTGATGATCGATTCTTTTGGGTGTAGATTAATATGAATTCTAGTCCCCACATTGTTTTACAATAACTTTTTTTTTTGTTTCAGTGAGTTTTTCCTCAAAAAAAAAAAAGTGGCTCTGAAAATGCAATAAATGCTGCATTAAATAATGTTCAAATGGATCTGTGCCCCCCACCTCTGAAAAGGCAGCATTTCCATTGCAAAGACTACAGGGTCAGGCAATATACACCAAAACCACTACATTAAGCTTGCCATTTTTTTCCTCCTGAACTTATGCTTAGACTACTTTTCGTTATGTTTAACTCAATGGTTTAAAAGAGGGTGCTTTGGTCTAGCACCACAGCCTTTGTCAAGTTTGTCCAGTGTCGCATCATGCCTGTAGTGGTATGTCAGAGATACTCTTGTGCAGTTGCGAGAGTCAACTGAGGTCAGGTGAAACATCTGAAATGGACAAGCGCGTGAACTTTTAGATGAGGGATGCAATTGTGGAACATCTGCTTTAACATTTAGGTACATCTCCTTGTTACTACTTTGGCAGGTCATTAGAAATTTAATATAGATTTTGGTGTCAGTTTGCATAAAAGTGTAATTTATATAATTTTAGTTAGATGGAATTTTATTTATTTTTTTTACCAAAAAAATAGAATGTGTATTTCGTAAATCTATGTTCACATTGAGCACTATATAAGCTGCCAACAGAAAACACATTTTCCACTTTATGGTGTTAAACAAAATCTTCAGAAGTTGTACAAGTGCTCTGATTTAAGCTGGCAAAACTGCTGATTCTACTTAAGGTGGCAACCTTTCCAAACATCAATGTAGGTACACAAATATATTTACACAAAATACCACTAATGTAGAACCCTTATATAATCTATGTAGTAGATACAATTTTTAAAAATCCTAAATTTACTGATTAACTGCACAGGATTGCTAATGAAAGCCTTGGCATGTACTTGTTTTGTTGTATGTTTGTATTTGTTTATATATTTTCATGCAATGTTCATTTTGTGATAGATGTGCATGTTTTGCATGTGTGGTTGGACACAAAATCAGTGAGAAAAATATGTATAAACTAGTCTTCCAAGAGGAGTTCAATACAAGCAGTAGTCCTTCATATATTTTAATAGACTGTGCATGCATCCCAGTAGTACTTTAAAGGAACACTGTAATCAGTATGACAACCATTAGAGGCGTGTTTAACACTTAAAAGTAAACATGGCCCTTTCTGCAAGAGAGGATTGTTTTAGCTTGACAGACTAATCCTACAGGACAATTATACAAAGACCACTTTATTGAGATCATTGGGTCACTTTAGTTGTCCTTTAACTCTGATAATGTTAAAAAACTTATATCGTAACGTACGAAAACCGCAAACCTCAGCATGCAGTAACGATTTTTTTTTTTTTTCACTAAATTGCTACTAGTAGGAAATTGCTAACTTTTGGTCAGAATAGCAGCACTGGTATTGTGGTGTCAAATGTGTAATTATCAAGTTCCTAGAATTCCTGGTTTTGTAAATGTTCCTCTTGGATCAGGTGGTGGCAGGTAGATGGAAACGGTTGTATGTCACTTGATGAATGCCCCTTATTATGACTATAGATTTTGTTTGTATTGCTGATCTATAGTCTTAAAGAAAGTGGTTTGGTGTAAGACTCATGCCCCTGCAGTCATTTAGGAGTTAAATCACTTTGTTTATTATGTTATTTATATAGTGCCAACAAATTCCACAGCCCTTAATAATGGGTGGACAAACAAACGTAGTTGTAACCAGACAAGTTGGACACACAGGAACAGAGGGGTTGAGGGCCCTGCTCAATGAGCTCACATGCTAGAGGGAGTGGGGTATAGTGACACAAAAGGTAAGGATAGTATTAGACTAATGACAGTTGCAAGAGATGAATCAGTCTGGAGCTATTAAGTTTCTCCATGCTCCTCAAGGCACACCTAACAGTCCAGGATTTAGGGATTATCTGGGTGTGTCTAAGGTTTTTGTTTTTTTTCCTAAACACCTTAGGTGTGCCTTGAGGAGCATTGATTTATCTGATGCTCTGTTAATTGCATGTTAGAGCCTGCAGCTGCCTCTTCTGTGTTAATATTCAATTAACAGAGTAGAAGATATGAAATTCTAAAGTAAACACTCTCTGCTGTAATTAATTTTATTTGGGGTAAAAAAAAAATTCTATATAATAAAAAAAGTGATTTAACTTCTAAAAGGCAACAAAACAAGTACCTTAATGAAGCAATATTGGGTTGTAGCTCCGTCTCACTACGTAGCAGGCAATTGACAATGCAGGGAATAAGACATTTCTAAATTACACACTGTGCAGGAAGAGAAGAGGAAAAGAAAATGGGCCCTTCTTCGGGAAGTTGTAGGGAGGCTGTGTGAATCACAGCAGGGGCAGTGTAGCAAGGATTTCATGAACAATGTGATTTTTTAACTCCTAAATGGCAAAACAAATTGAGTAGTGTAACTCATCTACACACCAACACAGCTGCATTAAGCTATGTTGTTTAGGTGATTTTTGTTTCTGCAAATTATGATCTACAATGTTGATGGTACTCCACTAATTTTATTTTATTAACCTGGCACTTTACAACTATATATTCTAATTAAGATGATTTTGCTTGAATATTTTCCCTGTAGAGACATTTACACAATGTGACATGAATTGGACCATTGGTGTCATGGCCATGTCTGTCTAGAATACAGTCAATTTAAATAGAAGGGTTATGTAGAAAACATTTTAATTATAAAAATATCACCAAGGAAACCAATGAAACATTTCCTTTGTCTAAAACGGTACAAAACCAGTTCAATCCACTCCCTGAACAATCCAGGATTTAGACACAATTGGGTAATTCCTATTTCCTAGACTATTTGGGGGTGGTTGGGGTGCATGTTAGGAATTATTTGGGGATCACTGGTCTAAAAATTAAGAAAAGGGTGACTCACTACTTGGAGTACAGCAGCAGTAGTACCATACTTTACATTACCCCTTCTACCGTACTTTGAGTTTTGACGGGATCAATATACGGTGGTGTAGGTTTGCTTTTGCCTTTCTGCAGCTCCCCCTTTTAATGTATCATACTTTAAATAGAAGGCACTCATAGTGCCGTGGGTAAGACAAATATAGTGCACTGAGAATAAGGCTTGGTTTGTTGCTCTGCCAAAGTCTAAACACAGGAGGACTTACTGAACCCGATCCCATCACATGGAAGGGGCCCCTAGCAATCCAGCCCTTCTGACCTGGTGAGTGAAGATCGCAATATAACTGTTAAAGCTGTCTCAGTGCTTAAGTAGCACTCATTAGTTTGCAAACACAAATCCACAGCAAACGGGATTATTGCATGCCCATTTTCTATCATTTTAAAATACAAAAATGAGAAATCTTTAATCAATCCAGTGATGGCTTATTTCGTCTCCAGAATGCAATATTTTCCTCCATTGAAAGGTCAGTGGTATTTGGTAGCAGAGATCGCTATATAAGATTATTCAAGTAAGCCAATATCACAAGATAAATTGTCAAACACACACTGCATCTTTTGAAGAGGAGGAAGACCAGTAATTTTGGGATGGCTTATGAAGATTAATAATTATCCTACATGGAGAAGGGCAGTCCAAGAGGAATCGATGAATCCTATGACTTATGCAACTTGGGGCCAGTAACTGGAAGCTGTTGGTTCAGTTCTAATGGTGTTTTTGTAGACCATCTCAGATCCGGGCATCTATGCCATTATACTATATAGGGTGCAGTGGGTCGAAAAAGAAATGAATGATGTACATTGACAATTATCTAGGCTATGAGAATCATAAACATATGTATTATCATTTAATTTAGCATCAACACCTACAGCAAGGCCTTCTGTGAATAAATGAGTAAGACTAGTGTAATTAAGGAGTCCATTGTTATAAGTACAGACTGCATCTGGTCTTTATAGAGATAAAATGGCAGTTTGAGGTAAAACCAGGGTTTTTAAACTTTGTTCTAACGTTCCCAGCTTGGACCATAGAAACACATGACACACTGAATCAGCCCAGGCTTAGCATGGATAGGTCTTAACAGAGTCTCCAGAGACTTTTACATCTGAAAACTGCGTTGGACTCTCCATTAATGTACTTAATACCACACCTGGTACTAGAGAGACTCTAATTTCAAATGGTTTACTAGTTTATCACAGTGTTCATTTTATTGATCAACATTTTTGAGATTTAGTCGACTAAAATACGACTAAAATGGCTTTTTAGTCAAAAGACTGTCTAAAACTACATTGGAATTTTCTGCCAAATTTAACACTGCACAGAGTAGCTGTGGAAGGGACAAAAGAGACACCTAGAGGGGATGGAAGCACACAAAGAGACACACGGGCTGGGGAAGGAGCAATAGAGACAGGCTTTAACTAAACCCATTAGATTTTAGTTGTCTCGACTAAAGTCTACTGGATATTTAGTCAACTAAAACAATTCAGATAAAATACAACTAAAACGTCTTTTTAGTCAAAAGACTGACTAAAACTTGATTGAAATTTGTCGCCAAAATTAACACTGGTTTACCAACGTTCCAATGACAAACTTCGAACAAACGGTATAAAGGTGATTATTCTAAAGTCATTTCAGTTTTTCTTGGCAGATAAGAAAAGTACCCTTATTTACTAATGGGAAAATTATCCGGAACTCTAAATTTATTTCAAATTGAAAGCTGAATTCTATTTGTTTCCAGTTTGGTATAAATTTGAAAATCACCTTAAATCCCTGACCGTGTTCACTACAATAAATAACCATGAAGGGCAAAGGGCATCGGTAGATACATTCTGCATGCTGTGTTTCAGAGCTGGCTATGCGCAGTCCTATTGTGCCAGATACTGTGAGGATAAAAAGTATGAACTAATACAATTTCAGAAGGGAAAAAAAAAACAAATCATCCACTTAATCATTGGAATTGTGAAAAGAATAGGCTAAATGCAAGGCAATTGCAAATTCAGCATCAACCAACCATAATGGAAAAATAGATGTGGGAAGTCTTTTCGATTGGCTTACCATACTGCCCAAGGTCAGAATTTGACATTTGTGGTGATTTATAAAAGTCTAAGCTATTTAAACTTCTTATGAACAAATAACGTACACATCTTTGTAGTACGCTCTTATATACACTCATACACGTAAAAAATTTTACTCGTAAGAATATTGAGTAGGATATATATATATATATATATATATAATTGGTGAAGTAGTGCTGGTTTTTATTATTCAGGCATATTTAGATTTATCACATTTTATTTTACTTTTAAGAAGTGAATTAATAAACTCTGCAATGATAGTCAAACTGTATAACTATATGTATGTTGGAGGGTAAGGGGCACTCGCAGATGTGCATAATATACAAAAAAAATTACAAGACATTTAAGATACACCCAAAGAAAGCTCTGTAGTGTTCGACTACTTTAGACAAATATATTTTTATTTAACTGCATTGAAGAGTTCTAATGTACAATACACCATGAGATTATCCTGTGCTTCAATATATATATAATTTTTTTTTTTTCTTGAATTGTGCCAAGTGCATCATTTTTCCAAAATAAAATAAAAAATAACCTTCTAGTTTCACTGCTTTGCATTCCATTTTACATACCCAATAGCTGTTTTCGGTACACATACACAAATAAACCTATTCTGTGTTGAGTTGCATGGTGAAATGACAAGAATGGTTGTCTGGTTTCATGCTGTACATGTGGTTTAAATCCCTAGCAAGCATGACTTTATGGGGAACCTTACCACTCTCCCACTAAAACCACAGATTGCACCAGAAATGACCGAGATCACAGCCACCTCTGTCTGAAGAGGACATTCTGCAAAAGAAGCAGAGTGATTTGGAATTTTTATTTTCAAATGTGTTAAATCCATAATTTGTTAAAATCTTCCATGGAGTATCTATTTGATTTTAATTTAAACTAAAGTGAACATGAGTAATTGAATTTAATTTTAGAAAAAAATATAATTTAAAAAAAATGTTTTTTAAAGTTTGACCCGTAGCTAAAGAAACACTGCTGAATGCTGGGTGATCGCGACTTGCACAATTCACAAAGTGATCGCAAACCTCATATGTATTACTAATATATGCCTTTAGGCTTGGTTACAAATGTGGGAATTGCTGAGAATTCAAAATGGATAGTGAATTTAAGCTCCCAATATTTGTATTGCACCAGTTCCCCAGGTCAACTTTCTTTTTCACTTTTTCTACCCTACGATTCTACCCTACGATTCCGCTAATGTGAACTAAAATGTAATAATTTGGAATTTGCTTGGCAGTCTATTAATTACTCATTAAAGTGTAACTTATCAGAATTTAAAATGAATGTACGCTAAAAGACAAATAGAAAATACTGGTAATTTATATATATTTTGTAGTGCCGAGTGTGGATCTGTCCATAGAGTAAATGTTTTGTTTACATTCTAATTTGCTAACTGGTGACGTCACCTGTGTTTTGCCTCTTCTCTGCCACTTTTTACCACTTGAGCTAGTTTTATCCTAAGACATTATGAACTATAAGCCAAGAGATTACCGCGACACAATGTTGGATAGAAGAAATTCCTCTTAGATTAGTTTTATTTCTTCTCGACGTAGAGCAATTGAAATGTTTTTTGCATTTTGAACGTTTAAACATTTTGATTATACAACAATTTAGACTTTGGCTAAAATTTAAAGGATAATTTGGTTATCGTATAATGTTTTGTCCGATTAAGCCCCTTTAAGTTACACCTATTTTTTAGTTGCAGTTTTGTTTCCCCTCAATAACCAATTAAGTTTGTAGTATACTATTAATTTTATGGAGAAATGTCTTTTAAAAGTTTTGAAAGATTTTGTTTAGTATTTTTTTTTTCCCCTGGGAATAATACTCCAGAGCGTCTACGTGGTGTTGTTCAGTAAAGTCTGAATATAGAAATTCTGTTTAAATAACCAAAGCAATTTTTATATTTGCTAAGGGCAAATCTGGTTAAAGTTCTTTTACTTTAACAGAATGAGCACATCTCCTAATAGATGGTGACTAAACTTGCCCACTCACAGAACAACTAACTAGCAAAGGGTTAAAGTATGAACATTATATATTGCATCATATTTATAAAATAAGCATGCAGTATGCATTTATAGCTTAATCTTCACAGTATCATCTCAATGAAGTGGTCCAGTCCTTGTTTACATTGCAGGGCTAAATCATCCACTAGTGGCTATTACACAGACAGCCACTAGAGGTGCTTATTCGACACTGAACGAGGAAACTTAGCCACGTGATGATAAAACCCACATAAGGAAGCTTTATACTGGACATCGAGGGAGCCCCGGCGCTGGAAAAGTGTTAAATAAATTTTTTTAAGATGCCAAAATTCCAGAGTATTGCATTATGCAATGATGCCTTTTTTTTTTTTTTTACTAAAATATTTCAAAGACAAGCTTTCGAGAGTTTTCCTCTCTTCTTCAGGTCTGAAACAATATTGATCAATCTGATAGAGTTTAACAATAAAAAAAAGGTAGCGTTGCATACTGCAACACTGATGTTTTGGCATCTTGTCTACTGGACTAAAACGGCTAATCCAATCTACACTGAAATTATTTATACATTTTATTAGTTTATATGGCAATTATTATTTTGTTATTTCTGAGGCTTCGTGTTCCTTTAAACTTTAATTATTGGGGTGTAATTTACCCATTCCCAGGAGTTGATTATCAAAGTGGTGAAAATGACAGATTATTCAGTTGAACTGACTTTGGCCAATTAGTTTGTGTCCGAGCATGTGGTGGCATATTGTCATAATTTTTTCCCACATTTCAGCCCTTTGAATGCTTCTGGATAGTCTGAAATGCAGACTACATTGAAGGTAATTTGGAAACTGGTAAACTCCAGACATTGCTAAATCTTGTGAATGCCCCCGGACAGTTCCAGATTATTTAGCTAATCAGGACTAGGGGATTCAGACTTTAGTGAAAACTCCAATGCAGTTTAACAGGCAGAGGTTTTTGCTAGTTCAAGTGTATTTGTGCATTTTATGGTCTTTTTCACATCCTAGCACTATCGATGATTTCAGTCAATGGTATAATAGCTTTCATTACCCAAGGACGGAGGCAATTGAACAAGTTCTGATCAAAACGAAACCTGAAATTTCAGCTACATTTCTGTTCAGCCATACTTCCAATCTTTCATATGAAGTGCACCTATGCTTTGTTATATATTATTTTATTGAGGAGAAACAGGGCTTCCATTTCATTTTCTACATGGCATTTAAACTATGAATGTCAGAATACTGTTAGCGTTTACTGCAATAAAATACACATATTTGTTTTCAGTGATGTCTCACGTGTACGACAATAGTGTCCTTGTACAGGTTTTATGGGCTTGTGGAAACTTACAAGGTCAAATTTAGGGCTTTCTCCTTTTAAGTTTTTACACATTAAAATTTGCCAGATTGGTTTCCTGGGCCTTTGTTGCCTTTGAGACCATATAGCAGCCAAGGAATTAGAATTATCCCCATCATGTCATACCATTTGCAAAAGTAGACAACCCAGGTATTCAATATGGGGTATGCCAAGTCTTGTTTAGTAGAAACCTAGTCACAAACCCTGGCCAAAGGTAGCGTTCATATTTGTTTTTTGCGTTTTTCCACACAAACAAACTGCTCTTTCACTGATGATATTGTCATCCTGATATGTATTACTGTTTTAAGACACTAATATTTGTGTTCAGCAAACTCTCCCGAGTACAGAAGTACAAGCTTTATGGTGTTTTTACAGGGTTAAATATAGGGCTTGCAAATTAAATTGTCTGGTCTTTCTGCCTGAGTTGTCAGGCAGGTCACTCATAATGTAAATAATCACATAATTATGTAAAATGATTTCATAAATATACATGTAGAATTTAAATATATTTGTGTGTGGTCAGAGACAAAAGGCAGAGTTATGTTAGTGGTGCACAAGTCTGTTGTGTGCCAAAACAGATGTTCGAGTAGGCCTGTAAAAAGAGGTCCACTAATTTAAATGGCTTGATAAAGGGAGTTGTGGGTGGGCTGAACTAGACAGTCTAAGCCCAGAGAAAGGGGCAGCCTGTGTATTTATAGGCTTGGGTATCCCCACCCACAACTACAAGCTCCGCCTTTACACATAGAATTGAATACATTTTACATATATATATATGTGTATTTTGATATCAATATTATATATTAATATTAAAATACACTTAGAATGATAGTGTATATGTATATTTGTGTGCTCAGATAGATATAATCTAAGTTTGCATTTTGTTAGTAAAACATTTTTACTAACTTTATTTCACCTTTGGGGACTGCCTGACAACCCGAGTGCTTTGGACTGCCATTCCCGCTCCGGCCATGTGATTGTGATGTCACATGGGTTGTCGGGCAGTCCCCCCAAACTGGGTTGCCGTGGTGGGTAAGTGAAGGGGATGCGGCTATCCACTGGGCGTGCTAAAATACCCTGAGGCTTTAAAGCACACATTTTTCAGGCCGTTCTTAAGGGATTACAGAGGGTGGGTTTTACATTCTTATCTAAATCTTGTAGCACTCTCTGCAGTTATTATTACTGGCTTGATCTTAAATTAAGGGCTTCATTCACCATTAAAATGCATAGACAAGCAAGGTTTAGCAATTGTTTTTAATGCTATATGTTATTCAAAACATGTTTCTGTTTGTGAAATTAAATTGCTTTTATTATAACTTGTTTTGTTTATCTTTAAACCTGTATTAAAATTTGTATATTGTGTATTTGTAGGTGCATCTCAAGCGGCGCAATCTCAGGGACCTCCTTCTGAACCGCAACAAGGTCCTCCTCCAGATCAACATCAGGGACCTCCCTCTGGCTCCCACCAGGGACCTTCTTCTGGTCCACAACATGAGCTCCCTAGTCCACATCAGGGACCTCCTTCTGGCCCCCACCAGGGACCTCCTTCTGGCCCCCACCAGGGACCTCCTTCTGGCCCCCACCAGGGACCTCCTTCTGGCCATCACCAGGGACCTCCTTCTGGCCACCACCAGGGACCTCCTTCTGGCCACCACCAGGGACCTCCTTCTGGCCACCACCAGGGACCTCCTTCTGGCCCACACTATGAGCCTCATGGTCCACACTATGAGCCTCATGGTCCACACTATGAGCCTCATGGTCCACACCAAGGGCCTGGTTCTGGCCCACACTATGATCCTCAAGGGCCCCATTCTGGCCCACACTATGAGCAACCTGGTCCACACCAAGGGCCACATTCTGGCCCACACTATGAGGCAACTGGGCCACATTCGGGCCCACACTATGATCCTCATGGTCCACATCAAGGTGCACATTCGGGCCCACATCATGGTCCTCCATCAGGACCTCATTATGAACCTCCTGGCCCACACCATGGCCCACATTCTGGTCCTGGAACGGGTCAATCGACTGGGCTTCTGGGTGCTAGACCTGGATTAATACCTCTGCAAAGGCCACCTGGAGTTCCCCCACCTCACATGCAAAGATTTCAGTCAATGCCTCACAGACAGATGCCTCCTCATATGATGCACAGAGGCCCCCCTGGACAAGGAGGATATGGAATGAGGGGACCTTTTCCACCTCAAGGTCACTTTTCTAGACAAGGAGGGCCAGGGGGCCATGGTCCTGAAGATAGGGAAGGAAGGCAATTTAGAAATGATCGACCTGGATTTAACCCAGAACGAGAGAGATATGTTAGGAGACCATTTGGGAATCGAAATGAAGATGAGAGAGAATATTTTGACAACCGTCTTGATGAGCACGATCATGAGCGATCAAGCAATCGTGGCAGGAGAAACTGGGGAAGAGGAAGTCCTGATCATGAACGGTATAGAGATCCAGAGGAGAGAAGTAGATGGTCAATGGGCCGAGAGAGAGAACCCGAGCCTTACAGAGGAATGCCAGAAATGCGGGAGAACCGCAAACATGATATGCTTATGGAGTTTGATGATGAGCATGAGTCATTTGAGGATAAAATTGATGCTTCAGAGAAAGTTTCAAAATTTGATAAGGTTAAAGAAGAAACCTCTGAAAATAAGCCGGCTGAAGAGGTACCAGCTAAGGCTTCTGAACAAAAAGAAAAGGATTCTGTACCTACAACAGAATCTCCACACTAAGACTTACTACTTTCAAAGACAACATTGTTCATGTGTAGAGCTTCGAATATGTACAGTATGCTGTAAAATATTTGCTTCAGCTTAATTGCCAACCCTTTGATAGTTCCTGAAGAATCGTAAACAATTGGTTTTCCTTATTTAAAATGCAAATTTAACACCCCCAAAAAATTTACGCGGGGGAAGGAAGAATATAAGTGCCCAGTTTTGCTGTAACTTTTTAAGAATCTGCAAAAGTTTATTATTTTTTTTTTTTTCTTTGAGGGGGAAAATACCAACATCCTTAAGGCTCGCCTAATCATTAGGGATACATTTTTAATAAACTCTATTTTCGTAACAAACATTTGTGTGATATTATTCCGGTACTGCCATCAATAAATTGGTATTATTTAACCCCCAAATGAATGAGTTATTGTGGAAATATCTTTAAATTTCAAGATGATCTCTTGACAACATTAGTGCAGCTGTGTTACTATTAACATACAGAAATTAGACATTTTTTATTTTCTTTTTAATCTGGTTGTTTTGAAATAGTTAAAGCAATTTTGCATTTTTTGAGGAGGTGTAAAGCAGTGTTCTACATCCTTGAAGAACTGCTTCAAAGGCACTTCTGTAGAATGTTCTAAATGTTTGCTATTTACTATGTTTTTGTTAATGTTTTTTTTGTTTCTGATTAAAATATGACAGTATGCGTTTTTAGTATGCAAGATAATGTTCTGAATAATTTTTGGCTCTCCTAGCTTCTTCTATTACTGCTTTTTCACAAACTACAGATTTTTAATTTCTACCTTCCACCTCTTTCGTTTGTTCTTAGTAGACGCACGCATCCATAGGGGTCTGTTCATGAAAGATTTTTACTTGAAATTTGTCTTTTGGTGCTGTTTTTTTTTTCTCATCACTATTATAGCCTGCAGCGTACTTAGAAACATTTAGCTGGTTAAAGGAACACTCAAATCACCATGACACTAAAGATCGCTTACCTGAGCTAAGCCCTGGAATTTAGGGCTCATTTCCTAAAGCATCTCTGGCATTTAGTAATGGAGGTGGGGAGCAGTGCCAAGTGGTGCCAGGTAAGTAAGCATTCAAAAATAGTTTGACTACTTACATTAGGAGGATATTAGGGCATTTCATCTCCATAACCGCTACAATGTACTGTAATAGTTATGGTGCTTGGCGTGTTAAAAAAAAACCCAACACAGTACAATGTTTTCTTAACAGCCACAAAAAAACACCGTACAATGACTTTCTGATCACTAACTTTAATTTGCCATACTCGTAAAATACATATGAAGATTTTATTTTTTTGTTAGTTTATGTTATGTTTTTCAATGGTGTGCTTCTGCGAGTGCAATGAAGACCTTGAATCCAAGTTTTACATTGGCCCAATGGCCCCCCAAGTGAACTGTAGTTTTTGCTAACTTTCTGTCTGTCTAACCTAGAGAGTCATAAAAGCCACAGAACAACATCTTGCATACATGGCAAACCGTTTGATTCAGGGTTTTTTTTGTTTTTTTTCTCCAATTTATTAAGACTTGAAAGAGGTGGATAGAATGTCTACCTGGTTTTACTGATTCATGATTTCAGTTGGTTATGAAACCTCTCGTTGTTTAAGTTTTACATAGACCTTAAAATTTTGGACTATAATAAAAATTTTGTCACTGAACCTGTTCACTGATACGGATAAAATTGGTAAATTAAAACCCATTTTAAGACTAATGGCTAATTCTTTTTTTGACTGCAAAACTTAAATGTGTGCCTCTTCTTTTAAGAACCACAATGGGTAGCAGTTTTTTTATGAAATTGATCTTCTAATAGACACTTTGAAAATGTAAATACACTGGTTATATTGCCTCTTTTATGATGATTGTTGAATTCGAACTGGCTTGGTGGAAGCCACGTTGGAAACTGAAAGGAAATGGAGAGTTGCATTTAAAACATCTCAGAAGAAATGCAAAGAATAGAAACTCTGATTGATATATTACACAAGAACCAGCGCACTCACTTATCCACCAAACAACAACTTCAATGTTGACAGATTTTATTTTATTTTTTTGGTTTTTTAAAACACCTAATCTAGGCAAAAAAAAAATGGGGGTTTAGTTATATTATATGATCATACATTGCATAAGCCTGCCACAACGTCAATGTACCCCATCTTTGGCAGGTCTTACACTAACAGCCTAATGTCTGCTCTTATGAGATAAACCACTTACTTGGGAAAAACATTCCATCTGGGGCTCTCTGCAGTACAAGACTAAACAGGGCCCTGGGCTAGGGCTGGTGCAAGGATATTTGGGTACACAGGCAAAGATGATTTTGGAGCCTCCCTTCCCCTCCCCCCCAAGCATCTTCACCTGTGTGCCTCTAAACCCACCTTTTGTTTCTTTTCCACTTTTTAAGATGCCTTATTCCCTATTTTTTCCCCATTGTGTGTCTCTTACTACCCCTTTGTGTTTCCTACTCCCCCCCCCCAGCCTCTGAGTCTCCTCTCCCAGACTCTGTGTCTTTTACTCTTACCAGCTCCTTTGTGTGTTCCTCTTTCACCACCAGCTCCTGTGTCTCTTTTTCCCTCTTCTCCATCCTCTCTGTGTCTCTTTCATCCCAACCCCTTTTTATTTCCACTCACAGGCTCTTCTGTGCGGCGCTTTTATCCCCAAGGCCGTCTGTGTCTTTCTCCCCCCTCATGTCTCTCTTTGTGTTTTCTCCCCCATCTTCGTGTTCCTCTCCCTTCTCTTTTAATGGCCCCCACTACCCCAGTGTTCATTATCCTTCCCCTCCCCTGTACCTTAGTGTCCCCACCCCGATGTTTATCTCCCTTCCCTGTCCCATATCATTCTTTCCCCCCTTCCCCTGTCCCATAGTTTTCCTCCCCTCTACTTAGTGCCCCGGTTTGTCTACTACCATTATTGTAGCCTGGACGAGCGGACCGCAGTAAAGGAGCTTCAGTCTCCTGTACCTGGCCGGACTGACAGTGAGCACTTCTTTTCAGTCCAGCTGGGTACAGGAAACAAATTCCTGTATCGCGGTGCGCACTTCTCCACTCTGCCACGCTACACAGAGTGCCTGGCAGGAGGGAGCTCTGTGCGGCGACCAGGATCTTGTGCCGCCTAATGGACGTGCAGACCCTGCCTACGGCTGTAGATTTGGAAATCAATGTAGCTGGACCCCCATCACTAATTAAACTTAACTTGATCCCTCATGTTGATTAACTGCTACCTTCAAATATAAATTTTCTGTTTTTAACCAAAGCAGCAAGTTATCAATTTTAAATAGTTCCTGCAAGTATAGAGTGATAGCATACTAAGGTGACACTTTCAAACAATAGTAGATCCTACAAATTACACTATTTGTGTTACCACAAAAAAAAAAAAGTTCTATTAAAGATGATCTTGTTTTGTTACTCTAAACTGAGGATTCAAGTGGACATTCACTATATGTTATGATGGTTAAATATTACGCAGTACAAAGGATAGATGTTTGTCAGTACACAAATGCTGATCTGCGTTAACTACACATTTTATTGAAGATTCAACAAAGTCTACTTTTATTGTTTCAAAACGAAAGAAATTCATGGGTAGTAAAACAAAACTTCCTTTTAAAAACAAATGTTGCTATCGTCTACTACACACTAATATCCCCAATGCTTTATGGCATTACCTATCACACCATACCAACTCACTAAGGCAGTTTACATCTTTTTTTAATTATGACCTCCAGGGCTTAGCAGTTGCATTCTGTGGGACTGACTAACAATTTGTGGCCTCACTGATATTGTGATGTGAAAACATCAAGGGGGTGATAACATTTGCTGGGGTACAAGCAAGAAATATAGATTTCAGGCCAAACTATAGTGCCAAGAAAACAAAGTGGGTTTCCTGGTGCTATAGATTACTGTAGTGCCCCACTCCCCCATGTCTTTTTAAGAATTAGCTAAATGCTTCAATCTATATTTCCAACTAGCATCCCAGTAAGAGTTATCACCCCTTGACATCTCTACACGACAATAACAGTCCAGCCATAAAATGTTTGTGGTTACAGTCCCACAACCGCCATGCCAAAAAAAGTAATCTGCCCTTGGATTCAGTATTAACTGCCAAGATCCAAACTGCATTAGGGAGTTAGAATATGAACTGTTAGTCAAGAGCTTTGTTAATATGGTCTTACATTTTACAAGCTACATGGTGTAAAAACCATACAATGTATCAGAGGTCTTCCCCATAAAGAGGTTAATATAACCAATACACGTCATCAGGTTAGTTTCGTGTTCCAAAGCACGTTTTCCTTCTGAATAAACATTAACTAAATAAAAGTTCGTTTCCACTCAAGTTAAGAATTTTTTTTTCTTTTTAGCATCTTCCACAATCACTGGAAAAACTTTGAAACATTTACATTAATCAAAACAAATGGAATACAGAGCACAGACATGGGAGCACAGTGAATAGAAAACCAACAACCTCACAGCCAGTGAGCTATGGAGCCGTGGAATTTTCTTTAGATTATGTGGACACTCTAGGTTTGTCAAGCACCAGACAAGTAGTACCTGCCTTCCTGCAAAGTTCATACTGTTAATATTGGTGGAAAAGGAATAATGGCTTGGGTGGTTTTTCTTTCCTCAAGATAGGTTCCAGGAAAGGGATTTTTAAATAATTCATCTTAAGTCAGCACAGTCACACCAAACTTACCTTTCTCATGGTTTCCTCTCTCAGAATCTGTTTTTATTTCTTCTCAAATTTATTTTTAAACCCAAGATAAAATGGGGACTACTTTGTCCTGTGTAGTTTTCCCTTTACTTTCTTTGTCCAAAGCAGGAACTTAAGCCAGCTCCATTTCTTGTGTCAATGAGAAGGGAGAGTATGATGGGAATACTCTCCTTGACACAGGAAATAGAGTTGGCTTAAGCTCCTGCTTTGGTCAAAGAAAAGCAAGCGTAAAAAAAGTAGGGAGTCATGAGTAGTGTTTGCAGAAAACAGTACAAATGCAATAGGGAAAGCCACATGTATAAGTCATTAGATGATAGATCTCCTGATGTTCTAAAACTACAGCTTCCATGGTGCTTTGTCACTCTCAAACATACCATGCATCATTAGAGGTGTAGTTCTACAACTGCTGAATATCTACCTTTTGGGCACCCCAGGTGTTTATATAAAAATCCCCATTGGAATACACATAGGAAAAAAAAAAAAAAAAAAGTCCTTACATAGACCTGAGTTACTCAGACGTCTTACGAAACATACACTATGTGTGAGAATAAGATTAACTTTTACATCCATCTGAAGTACAGTGGCCAAGGATGGCTACAATGTCTGGATTGAGATGATGTCTCTAAAACATCTTGTCAAGTGAGCAGGGAGATAGCAAGTCTTGTGTGGACCAGGATTTTCCCCCCAGCACAAGGAAGGGTGGGGAAACTGGAGCAGCTGCTATGCCATATTGCAGGGGGGAAATGAGTCAGTCTGATGCAGAGGCAAGCTTGTGTGCCTTGGATAATTCATAGAACTGGATTATGATAAATAAATCTCACTGCTCTGGAATGGCTTTCAGACACCACCTCCTTGCTTTATTGATTTTTGTTTGGAATTTAGAAATAATCTTTGAGCGTCTTCACGACAAGCAGAAATAAAGACTTCCAGCTGTCCATGAAGGATCTCTTTCAAATCTCTATAAAGTCACTTGCTGCCAGCAAACTATTATAGTGTGATTATCTCCAACTGTTGGATTTGCATATTTGACAACCCCTGCCCAAACAAGTGAGTAAGTCAGCCCTCTTGGAAAAACTTAAACTGTGCTGCTCTTAAATCTGGAACACTAGCTCTGCAAAGCAAGTTGTTGCAATATGTTAGCACCAGTGTTTGCATTTCCCCCCCTCATCCTCAAAAATCAGCCTGAGTGAACCAATGTAACAAGCAAGGATTGTATCTGGACACATAACTGGATCAAACGCTCTGAAAGACAATTTCCTCAGTTGTGTTTAAAATAGATTCTTCTACAGACTATTTGGACACTCCTCAAAATTCCAATGCAGGAGTAGGGACTAGTTTAGAGTAGTACAATGCGGCTTTTCTACACCAAAATTAGTATTTAAAGTTATTTCTACAGAACCCATCAAAGTCCAAGATAAAAAAATAAAATCACTGTATTCAAAAGTCTAATATCCAAATGTTCTTGCCAAAAAGCTCTGTTGGGACACTCTTGAGGAAAGACGTTTGTAGAGCATGGTCTCAGCCAGGTTTTTTTTTTTTTTTTTTTAAACCACACGTTTTTTGCTTTAAAGAGAATTTGAATGACATTGACAAGTTTTAACAGGGTTACAGTTTGACTAGAGAATTAACTTTTTTATAGCCTTCCAGAGTTCTGTTTTTGTACCAGTATGAAGGTTAGAGTACCCAGAGAACATTTGTCTACCCGATAAGGATCTAGATGGCATGTGTAACAAATGCCTAGAGGACCACTCTAGGCACCCAGGCCACTTCAGCTTAATGAAGTGGTCTGGGTGCCAGGTCCCTCTAGTATTAACCCTTTTATTATTTTTATTTTTTATAATTGACAGCCGCTAGAGGCATTTGCATGCTTCTCACTGAAAAAAAAAGTGAGAAGACGCCAGCGTCCATAGGAAAGCACTGTAAATGCTTTCCTATGCAACTGGCTGAATGCGCACGCAGCATGCGCATTCGGAAGAGAGGAGAGCTCCCCGCCCTGCGCTGGAGAAAGGTAAGATTTTAACCCCTTCCTCTCCCTAGAGCCCGGCGGGAGGGGGACCCTGAGGATGTGGGCACCCTCAGGGCACTATAGTGCCAGGAAAAAAAAAAAAGGTATGTTTTCCTGGCACTATAGTGGTCCTTTAACAGGCTAAACTTTATTTGGCCAAACTGAATGGTCCTTTTGAGAGAAACCAATACAGTACATGCAGCCTGTTAACATCAGAAGCTAGATATTTGAGAATGCAATATTTCAGGTCAAATAGGAATGTTTCATGTTGCACCGCACATAGGTGACCAAGGTGAACTTTTATTGAATGACATCACAAGGCAGAAAAGTTATATAAACTTTATATATAAAGTTGTTTCTGTATAGTAGTTGGTCACAGTGCTTTTCCAGCAGTCTTACAGATGGATAGTAAATTGAACAGGAAATATAGAATTTTAACATTTACTGCCATTAATCTGAACAATGTATGTCAGGCCACGAAACCAAGAGCTTTCACATACAGCCATGTTACTGAGCACGTCCGATTACGCCACATGCCAAGCGGCCACCGGCGTTGCCAGTCACCAAGCTCTCATCATTCTCACCTTTGCCCAGGTCATCTTCCTTCTCATGGACCTAATGGGAAAGGAATGAAAACAGTTAGAAAAGAAAGACTTAGAATTCAGCTCTGGTAATTTGCAGAATGCATATAAAGTTCATTCTCTGGTTTACGGTTTGTATTTAGAAGTTTCCAACATGTTCTGTAGCCCTGTGCAACTGAGGAGACCATATAGACCAACTAATACACGGTGATCCTGCTTGCAAATTTATATAAAAGCATTGCAAACGCCAAATATAAAGTATTTAGTTAACCGATCAGCTTACAGTCTAAAAATACAGGCCACTACTGTGACCCAAGTTACCATGCCTTCCACTTTGTCCTTGTACGTTTTACTATCCAGTCTGGTGATCCATAGTCATGTGCCCTACTAAGCAGGCTATCCAATTCTATTCTAGTAAAACTATGGTCTCAAAACATATTAAAAGTGTAACTCCAACCACCATGATAATTTCTGATTTTTGAAGTGGTCATGGTGGCAGGTGTCTGGATGTGCAGGGTTTTCATCCAGGGGCCAGTTAAACCATCGGCTCACAACACATGACAGGCATCCTAGAACGCTGTTCCATGCTACCCAATGTCAATTCTGTGCATATTTTATGTTGGTTGTCAAAGTGCCGGCAGAAGCTCTCCTTCCCATCCTTTGCTAGCTCGTAGCACACCTTTGATTGGACCTCGGCATGGCTCCCCTGACATACGGCTGCATGTTGTACAGCACTGGGACCTTCGTCTGGCGCTGGATTTAAGCAAGTCAAATCTTATTTTTAAAAAAAGGTTTTTAAGAGTTTCTTGGAAGGAGCAGAGGGAGAAGGGGAAGGCATGCAATAGGGCATTATAAATGAGGTGTTTGCTTTTTTTGGAAGATAAATTTTGGACAGGCATACAAGCACTTTGAGTAATAAGTGACAGATTCATCTCAATAAGATTGTTTGGGTTGCAGTTGCCCTGTCTTTAAATCAGTACATTAGCGGTCTTTCCACTGCCCTCACTGAGTTAAGCAGTCACGTAATGCGGAGGATAAAAAGAAAACATTGAATACAATGCTTTTCTGTTAAATTTGAAACGTACAACACATGCCAAGCATATGGATCAGGACCCCCATACTCTGAGGAACATCAGATTGGACCACCACAGAGGAGGCAATGCCTCAATGACATTGTGGGAGGTAGTGAGGTGAGCAGCATGGAGGGCACTTTAGCACTAGAATAAGGTGAGTACCTTTAATATTTTATGATCTATATTTAAACTAGGGACAGGGTCACTATAGCATAAGAAATAAAGGTTTGTATTCTGAACACTATTATTTCTGTAACTAAACTACCATCACATCCTACAGTGTTTTAACTTGCTGACATGTTATCTTCTAAAGCAATAACAGTTGTGTTTTTATGGTCAGGAATTTAAACTCAAAATTCTAATTTTAGGTAAGTAGTGAGACTGCCATGTTTGCTCATCAAGCTTAAAATTCACATTTTAGTAAAAAAATCACTTGCAGATCATGAGAATAGTAGAGATACAATTCACAGGTACATTTATGAGAAAGCAAGGTTTTATAAAAAAAAAAAAATCATACCACAACGGTACGTCCAATAATGTCGTGCTTGTCATGAAGAGAAATCACACTATCCGTAAACTCAAATTTTGCTTCACCATTTGCAGAAGTTATATTGCCAAGATCACCAACGTGCCTGCAGAGATATTTCATAATGGAATAAAAAGGAACTCAGATGATTTAGAGATATGCATGATTGGCTAGACACAAGCATGAGTGCAATTTGTCCTAAAATGTTTCTTAAATGAGAAATCTGACGAGAGGTTATTAAGCATGGATGGAAAGTCAACATGTTAAAGTATGAGCAGACAGTAACCACATACCTCACTTCATCTTTAGGGCCCCCATGAGTTTTATTTTCTGGGTTGAAGTGTGGGCCAGCACTAATACAGCCTGAAAAATGGAAAGACAAGTACTGTTTTAGACAGCATTTTATTTCTAATTCTCAAACCAAAATCAATAGAATATTTAGTACAGTCATTCAAAAAAGGGATTTAAAATAAAAAATAACCAAATTTATTAATGTGGGCAACCTATTGTATGTGTGGGCTGTCTGTAGTCCTGTGAGAATAAAGGCTGTCTGATAAGTATTGTCTGTGACGGGGGCCATCTGTTGTGTTGAGAGTAGTAAGGAGTGTGTGATGGAAGTTGCCTTTGGGTATATGTGAATTGTTTGTAGTGCTATGTGTTCATGTGGCGTGCATGCTGTATGTTAAGTGTGTATGTAGTTTGCTTTTAGTACTTGTATGCCATCTGTGGTATTTGTATGCATGGCTACTCTACGCTACCCATTTTCCTATGCTTCTCCTGGCTGTTAATGCCTTCATAGAACTGTTCCATCTCCAGCTCTGTTCCTCAGGCCTCATCCCACACTCACAGAACCAACAAAACTCCAGTTCTGCATTTTTCCTCAGCACTACCAACCCATGTCCCCCCTAAATATATAGCATGCTACTCCAGCTTTTTGAGACATATATATTTTACCAATAGCTGCTCCTCTGTTAACTCTTTTAGCCTTCACCTCCAAATTTCCCGCTACCTCTTGTCTCAAATCCCCACTGCATCCTTTAGATTGTAAGCTCACGGGTTATCTAGCTAAGCACTTTGTATAAAAGCTTAAATAGCTAGATCTCAGCTTATGGGCAGGGCCATCTCTACCTTTTGTATTTGTGTATATTGCAAGTACTCCACTAATTGTACAGCGCTGCAGAATCTGTTGGTGCTTTATAAATACCAGTAATAAAGAAATAAATATGATGTGGGGGAAACATTTGCAGGTTTTGTTTTAAATTGCTCTTAAAATAAAAATATTTACTGCATTTAAACCAAGTAAACACTTGTGCCTACTCCCTCTTTCCAGGATGATAATGTGTGATAAAGTGAAGAATCTTCCGCCTAGTGAGAAGTCAGTGGCTTTGTTCTGTCTGTCATAAAGAATCTCAAACCTTCCTTTAATCTACCTTTTTCTCGTGGCAAGTGGTTGCAGGTCATGGACTGCACCTTTTGTAGGTGCAGACCACTCATCCCTTTGTCTCTGTTCTGGTGCTTTCCCAGAGAGCTTTGCCATGTTCGTGCTGCGACAGACTCCAAGAAGCATTGGAACACAAGGAAGGGTTAGCTGTGTGCCTACACGCTGGAAGTGCAGACTACAGGCTCCCTTGCACTCACCATCTGCTCTGACCCATTTGGGTCTAGAAGGCTCTTATGCCATTCTGAAGCACCACATGGGCCACAGGTTACCAAACCCTGACGTAGAAGATTCCTTGAGCACCTGAGCTATCTATCCATTTGTTTGCTGTAAGATGAACGGCATGCAGTGATCACACATTTAAGAAGAGTACCGGTAATAACAAAATTACCAGATACCTGGGATTCAAGTTGCAGATTTTTGTATACAAAAAATGGGGAGGATCTGCTAAATCAAAAGAAAGAGAAAGCAAAACAACATAGCATATAACGGCATGGATAAAGACAATTACTACACATTCTGATTTGCATTAGAATTTTATTTTCTTCTCTTCTCTTGAGCACATGTTCCTCAGCATATGGTGATTTGAATAGATCCAGAATATTCAACCCCTGAATGGAACCATATACAAGGCTTCGTTACTTCATTGAAAGTGAGTGGCCATTTGGGATTGCAATATTTTGGCACTTCATCCACACAGTTATAGGCAATGTTTTGCTTTCTATTGATTTAGCAGATACTCCCCAATTTCTTTTATATACATATTCCGTGGAATCCAAGAGGAAGTCTTTGGGGTAACCCTTGAAGCTTCACCCTATACAGGGACGTTTAAAGGGACACTGTAGACACCGAGACCACTTCTGCCCATTGGAGTGGTCTGGGTGCCAACTCCTGCTACTCTTAACCCTGCAAGGGTAATCATTGCAGTTTTTTTTATAAACTGCAATAATTACCTTGCAGGGTTAACTCCACCCTCTAGTGGCTGTCTACTAGACAGCCACTAGAGGGCACTTCCAGCTCTATAGCACAGAAAACCTGTGCTAGAGCATCGCTGGACATCCTCATGCTGTGTGATGACGTCCAGCGTCGCTCAATTCCCTATAGGAAAGCATTAATGGAGAGCGCTAATGCACATGCGCTGCATTGCCGCACATGCGCATTAGGTTTCCTCAGCCGGCGGGATCAGTCTCGCCCACCGGCTGACGTAATCACTGGGAGGAGCAGCAGCAAGCAGAAACCACCGAGGGACATCGGCGGGGTCTCAGGTAAGTGACCTGAAGGGGTTTTCGCCCCTTCAGCTACCGGGGATTGGGAGGGAGAGGAGACCTGCAGTGCCAGGAAAATGGATTGTTTTCCTGGCACTGGAGTTTCCCTTTAATTCTGCCAATATCTTTATTTGCACTAAATGGACATTTGTTTGTGAACACATCTTTTTGGCCATTTGCAATAAGTTAATTTTTTGCACAGAAGATGCTTGCATAAAAGGAACCAACTACTTTTGCTCTTTAAAAAAAAAATTAAATTGTATCTATACATTGTATATATTGGGAGAAATACCTGTTTAAAATAGTTTTTTCCTCGCAGTTAATTCATCATAGAGTATGGCAAAATAATACATTTCTAAGGGAGAGCAGAAGAGACCTCACAGGTGATGTGGCTGCTATGGTAACAGTCTAGCAGACACCATTTTCCAAAAACTAGGCTCTTACCATTGGTGTTATCGCCATAAGCGTGTATATGGAAGCCATGTTTTCCATCAGTCAATCCTGTAATAGTCCCTGTAACTGTAACTGGTCCATCACCCTACAGGCAAAAAAAACAAAACAAAAACCGTAAAATATCACGTTGAACACACATTTACCTTTTCATTACAGAACGGTTAAGAATTTTAAGGAGGATTATAGCTTCAGAAAAGCACACTTTATAGAACAGATTCTGGTGATTGTGCCAGCAGTTTTAAAGCAGAGTAATGTCACTTTGCTGAAGACCACCTGATCCATATACTATGTACAGGACAATTGTCTCATCATCTGAGCTATGGTGTATAGAAAAGCATAGTGCTTTCCCCAAGCCAAGACCACACTGCAAACAAACAAACTTAAACACTATAGAATCAGGAACAGAAACATGTATTACTGACCCTATTGTGTTAAAAACACCATCTACCCCTCCCCACCCAAATATAGAATAATTTTACCTTTATTCCAGTCTGCTGCTGCTCGCTCTGTCCCTGATGTAGCTAGTATGCTTAGATCAATTCTGATGTCACTCAATCACAATGCTTTCAACTAAGAAAAGCATCGGATTGGTTGAGACAGTCAGAGCGGCAGAACCAGCACAAACCAAGCAGAGCCCTGGCCGATCAGCATCTCCTCATAGAGATATATTGAATCCATGCATCTCTATTAAGTTTAGTGTATCCATGCAGAGGGTGTGCAGCACTGCCCCAGGAAGTATCTCTAGGAGCCATCTAAAGAGTTTCCAGTGGAGGTATCCCTAGGCTATAATGTAAACACTGCATTTTCTCTGCTAAAAACAGTGTTTACTGCAAAAAGCCTGAAGGGACTGATTTTACTTACCAGAACGAATACAATAAGCTGTAGATGTTCTGGTGACTATAGTGTTCCTTTAAATATTTAATCATGACCAGGCAAACAATAAAGGCATACAGAGCAGTTGTGCTTATAGATACATGGTGTACATTAGTGGCAAGTTCTCTGGTCACTAAAAATTTTATATACACCGTAGTTTAAAAAAGAAAAAATGGATGTACAGCTCACGAAAATTTAAAGACTGTACAAATAATATAGTATTCCACAAAATACAAATTATAAAGATTTTGTAGAATGCTAAATGAAAGTAAAAGTAAACTTAAACACATGGAATGAAAAGTTATGCATGTAATTAATCCATTGCCTCTATTAGACAGCCATGTTGCAGTGATGGAGCCCACCCTGTGTGTGCCCTATTAAGGTTTAGTAAGTGTGTAGAGGTTTATAAGAATACAATTCTCATTTTACTTTTTAGCTAAAAGCAGCAAGCATAATTGTTACCATAGGAGTCTTTGAAGTTGATGGGGCAAGTAAGCTTACACTTTAAACAGCCATTTGAGTGCTACTAAAGAGACTGTTTAAACATCCACTAAGTCACTCAGGACACTTCATGTCAAATGAAATGTCCTAGGAGCAGTGGTCAAGACCATTTTCACATGCAATGTAAGATATTTCCGTTTGAGAAATTGTTTATATCTAATGGATGTCATACTGACAGCCTACAGAGTCACTTCTATGGCTGGTAAGAAATTCGTAAGTCTTATTCTACAAATAAATATAAAAATTAAGGTCCTTACCTGCCTTTCCACCAGTGTCATACCTCCCCTAGTGCTAGTGTGGCCTCCCGTTTATATAGGAATGACCACTAGAAGTTTTACAAATCGTGTAGTGGAACATGTGGGCAATATCCAGAGGAGGTATATGAAATTGTGTTTCAGGCCATTCTACAGAAAGACATGGGGGTGACCCATCCCTGTTCAATTATAGGGCTATTTATTTTTTACATAATAAAAATTTAAAGCTGGAATAAGCAAAAAAAAAAAATAAGAGTATGAGTATTCAAAATTAATACTTTGGCACTGTATACTCTTAATTTGGATTCTGAAAGAATCTCTTAAAGGAAAATAAATTACATTTTGTTTGTTTTCTCCATCTACAGTTGCCCCTTTGCTTGATTTTAAAAACTGGCACCTTGGAGCTACCTATGCGGAGTTTGGTATGGCCCTTAGGATGCAAGATGAAATCACTCGCATGGCTATCACCTTTATTTTTTTACCAAATGCACCATGGGTTTTTTTTAGTCTATGCACAGATTTTAGAGGAATTGTATATACTCTGGAGATTTAATCACACTTCTGAAAGACCAATTATATTACATACACATACACTGAGTGCATATTGGTATTTTTGGGTTTTACTTTTTTGGTAAATATGAAAAAGAAGCCAACTTCAGCCTTTAAATAAGAAACTGTCTTGAATACAAAGCCAACTTCAGCAACATGCAAACCTCATTGTACTGGCATGTTCAGTAATAATCAGTAACAAAATTACTAAGGCTACCTGAAAATCACTGCCTATCAGGTCTGTGTCAGACTGCAGAATTGCAACTATTTGATTAATCAGCATGACTAGAGCCAAATGCTGGGGCATCAAAGGTAAGCTTCCTGTACTTTGGACCTACGTCAGGATTAGGTGAAAGGACCATCACGTGAGGAGTTGCCTTACTATCACAACATGCACTAAACCTGCTACACAGGACTGCATTATCCCAACAGACACTGCTAACCGAAATTGACAGGAATTTATTCTGGAGTAAAATTAGTTTCACTGTAGAAAATTAGCAAGGCTTAAAAGGATTGACATTTAAAGGATTAAAACAGTTAACCTTTTGTTTGGAAACAGTCTAAAATGTTAATGATTTGTTATAAAATACACACTTTATGCATGTCCATTATAGGCAATTAAAACAAAATTTCAGACTTCTTTTCCAGAGGTAACTACGGATTTTGGTTATAAAGCATGCCTTTGATTAAACCATTTATGCTTGGATTTGGCACATCAGCATGCTAAAAAGGGGCTAGCAGATCAAATCTTTAACCTTTGATGTTGTGTGCTTTATTGAATTTAAAAAAAAAAAAAAAATTTTGAAGTCATGTGACAAACGTGAAACAGTAATTTAACAAAGGAATATGTTGGGGCACTATCCTGAATTAAACGTACATTTGTTTTTAGAAATGCTGGAATGGCAATTAAAGCATAAGCTTACCTGCCAAGTCAAATCTCTTATGGAAGGCCTAATTTGACAAGTCACTTTAAAAGGATCACTCCACACAAAGCATTTCAACACTTTGTTGATTAAGTATTCCATTGTAGTTTCACTTTATAAAAAAAAAAAAGTCTGCCTTTGAGAAATCTGCAATTTTATAAATAGAAGAAGAAATGCCTCTCAGGCTAACAGTGGTGTCTGCCCCAATTCATAGGGAGTCCTATGCCCATTGACAGGGCTCATTGCATCTTAGGATCCCCAATTTCTGCATCCTGCCCCCACACGCACTCGTGGTTGGGAATCAGTGGATTCTAACGCAGTCTGCTGAGGAAAAAGGGGACTTCCTCACAATGAAAACATGCCTACATTTCTTTTTCCTGCGATATATCCACTAAACAGAGATTTCTCTTTTAATGTTGAGTGTTACTTTAAAGGAGCACCCAGACCACAGCTCAATGAAGTGGTCTGGGTGCCAGGTACCTCTAGGGTTAACCCTGCCTGCTGTAAACCTGGCAGTTTGTTTACATTAGGGTTTATCCAGCATCTAGTAGCTATCTCATTGACAGCCACTAGAGGCGCTTCTCACTGATTGTCACAGTGAGAAGACGCCAGCGTCCATAGGAAAGCATTGAGAATGCTTTCCTATGGACTGGCTGAAAGAGTGTGGCTCTTGCCGCGCATGCACATTTAGCCGATGACGACTGAAGGAGGAGGAGAGCCCCCAGCGCCGAAGGAAGGTAAGGTATTAACCCCTTCCTCCCGGCAGGAGGGGGACCCTGAGGGTGGGGGTACCTATTAACACTATAGTGCCAGGAAAACAAGTTTGTTTTCCTGGTACTATAGTGGTCCTTTAAGTTGCAAATATATATATGAGAGAGAGACACTGTATGAATCCCTACAAACTAGTTAACCAGAGATATTGTTTCTTCATGCTGAAAGCAGTAATGTGAATTGTTTGCACAAGACTCACCCAAGTGGGTTTGCCTTGTTGGCAGATGAGCTTGCATATTACATTTCAGCTTACACAATAAAAGTAAATGACTTTACAAAATCTACCAACAGTTACCCCTCTAATCCTTCAACATGGTTTAATGCACTGTGCCAGCCCCCTCACACACACGCCCACACACACTGCGCCAGCCCCCTCACACACACACACTGCCAGCCCCCTGCCCTCACTCACACACACTGCCAGCCCCCTGCCCTCACTCACACACACACAGTGGCAGCCCCCTGCCCTCACTCACACACACACAGTGGCAGCCCCCTGCCCTCACTCACACACACACACACAGTGGCAGCCCCCTCGTCTCACCTCACACACACACTGCCAGCCCCCTGCCCTCACACACACACAGTGCCAGCCCCCTGCCCTCACACACACAGTGGCAGCCCCCTGCCCTCACACACAGTGGCAGCCCCCTGCCCTCACTCACACACACACAGTGGCAGCCCCCTGCCCTCACACACACACAGTGCCAGCCCAGTAGTCAGACAGTATGATGCAGACAGGATGATGCCAGGCCGCCATGACACAGCATATTCCCAGAGCCAGCTATCCGGTGAGGGCCCCGGGTATAACAGCAGCCTGTCTGCTCCCAGCTCGTGCTGCTTGCCTGTTGGTGGAAGTGCACCACGCCTTGCACCTCACCGGTCCCCTTCATTACACAGACCGCCTTCAACATGACTGCACGGCGCTCGACTTCCACTGACTGCGCTGGGTCACGGGGGCGGGGTCTTCCGATTAAATAGGGGCTGCGTGACGTCAGTCGCATTGAGAGCCCCGCGTGCCAAAGGGCGGCCAATCAGAGCTCAAACTCCCGAATCTCCACCACCCCGCCAGAATGGCCACTGAGGATAGGCCGAGTGCGGTCACGTGAACTGCCTGCGGCTGTCAGTTTGCTAACGTTAGATAAGAAGGGGCGTGGCCACCAGGCGGCTAGACTGGATTAGTTCAGTTTCTAATCCCAGTGTTTACAGCCAGCCATACAATGAGTCCCATCACATTACAAGAGCATACCTGCCAAGTGTCCCTATCTAGCAGGGACAGTCCCTATTTTGGACCCATTTTCCTCTTTTTTAGGAACTGTCCCAAGAGCCCAGCATTCCCTGATCACCATGATCACATGGCCACGATAGGAGTCTATGGAGCTGTCAGACAGTCCCCCAGGCTGAAAAATTTATAAAAATAAATAATGAAAAAATTATATTATACATATATAATGCATATATATGATTTAATTACAGGTGTATTTTGAGATATATACATACACTGAACAAAATTATAAACGCAACACTTTTCTGAGCTGAACTCAAAGATGTAAGATGTTTTTCTATGTACATGAAAGGCCTATTTCTCTCAAATATTGTTCATAAATCTGTCTAAATCTGTGTTAGTGAGCCCTTCTCCTTTGCTGAGATAATCCATCCACCTCACAGGTGTGGCATATCGAGATGCTGATTAGACAGCATGATTATTGCACAGGTGTGCCTTAGGCTGGCCACAATAAAAGGCCACTCTAAAATGTGTAGTTTTATCACACAGCACAATGCCACAGATGTAGCAAGTTTTGAGGGAGCGTGCAATTGGCATGCTGACTGCAGGAATGTCCACCAGAGATGTTGCCCATGAATTGAATGTTCATTTCTGTCAGGATTACTGTTGATCGAGCACGCAGAAATAGTATCGCACCTACAACTAAGGATAACGTCTAACCGGACCTTAACGTTTCCAAGAATAGTCAAAATACTTGCTGAGGTCAGGGACACAGAATGAGACACAACGATTAGGAAAAGTCAAGGATACCCGAAATCAGGGAAGTCAAAACAGAGCCAAAGTCAAAAACCAGAAAAACACAATCAGAAACACTCTCTCAGATAACCATCAAAGGGAAACCACAGCAGGGCCCTGATCAAAAGGCAATTTGGGTTTAAAAGACTCTCTTGAAGCTGTAATTGGCTGTATGTGGCCTCTGACCCCAAAACATGCGTGCACGTCTATGACGGGATGTTGCACGCACGTAAGCACCATCTTTAATGTGGGCTATCTTTATCTTTAATAAAACCGGAACTGCAGCGGCCAGCGTCTTTAGGAACGCCGCACACGCTGGGGACCGGGATGGAAGGAGGTTGGGTAGCAGTTTGGCGTAAGCAAGGTAAGTATTTATTATTTCTGTCGGCGTCAACTGTTACAATTTCTCTACCATAAGCTGTCTCCAAAGACGTTTCAGGGAATTTGGCAGTACATCCAACCGGCCTTGTTACAAACCCCCCTTCCAACGTGAGTTTGCCACAAGCCCCTGGAGAAGCCTGCTTGCTAATCATACTCATTGGCAGGGTCTTCAATAGGCATTTGGTGGCAGCAACTTCAGGGTTGTGAAGCCGCACCACTTACTGTTACTTGTAGAGCTGTGCACCTACCGGCCATTAAGAACATAACAGAGGGTGCCCTTTCTCATTCACAGTGGCAGGTATTTCGGCAGCCTGCCCGGTGGAACTGTGGTACCTTGGCCTGAACGAGTGACGGCTTGAATCAGGTCATCGGTGTTGGATGCCACTTGGGCACGCTATGGTAAGGCATGGGGGGAATGGTTAGCCTTTGAATGGGAAAATGTTGGTTCTTCTCAGTTTATGACCTAATTCAGGGTCTCTAGCACCTTTGGGGTGTTCGCCGGCAGCTGTCTCCGCAAAATTATCGGGTCTCAATTTTTGGTTTAAGTTAACTAGGGTGCCTGACTCCTGGAGGCCGATCTCCGGGGCATTACGATTGGGTATTTTATTGGCCCTACATTGGGTTTTCTTTTCGGAATTTGAGGTGCAGTTGTTCCAGGTGGCATTCACGTTTGCCTTCTTTGGGGCTCTATGTAACGGATTAATCCGCTTATGATAATGTGTTTAATTGTATTTACTGTCCTGACAGGAATAGTTGTGCCCATCTACAGCCCTGCGCCCCGATACCTGATAAACCCAGTATGTGTAGGGACACAGGCCGCTGCGGATCTATGCCACCTTATAGCCCCATCACCGCCCACGTTGAGGATGACATCGGGGTGGGCGTGATATCACACGCATGTACGTTCTCTCATTCCCTGTTGTGGTTTCTGCCTGATGGTAATCTGAGAGTGCGTTCCTGATCTTGATTTTTTTGGTACTTGACTTCTGACTTTCCTGATTTCTGGTATTCTGGACTTTTGGCCTTTTCTCATCGCTGTGTCTGATTCCAGTCCCTGACCTCGGCAAGTATTCTGACTATTCTTGGATATGTTAAGGCCGGCCATTCTAAGGTCTGGTTAGACGTTATCCTTAGTCCTAGGTGTGATACAATTCTGCCAGCGGGATCAATTAGTAATCCTGACACTCTACGGGTTGGAAAGTTGGTTAGTCCCAATAAACGGGTGTCAGGTGACATTCTCGGATGTTTCATGTGCAGAAGGAATAATTTGATTCCTGTTGGGGCACTCTAAAACTGATGTTCTCGGTTGTGGGGTTTGGGTTACCATTCAGGTAATTCAAGGGTCCAGGGCGTTCCCTGTATCTTACTTCCAGAGGTATTGTGCCGTTCGCCTGCAGTCTATGGGCCCCTTGTTGATCCACAGGGGTGGGGGTTTCTTATCCAGGTTTCAATTCATTAGGGTCCAGTCCATCCAGAAGATTGGTAGATGGGACTCTACGAGGTTTCGATCCTACATGCTCCCATCCGGGCTGATTGCATTTCCCTCTGTTTTTTTCTCCGCAGGGTCCAGCCGACAGTTCTGGTTAGTCTGACATTCCTATGTATATTGGGCCCATCTTCGTGCGGGGGTTCGACCTGGTGGGACTCGTCTTTCTACGGAGTCGGCAGATGTCAGGTGGTTTGGGACTCGGGGCATGCAATGGGTAGAGTTGCTTCCGGAAGTAGTCCAGCTTGCTAGCCTACTGGTTGTCCCGGATGTGATGGTAATACACCTTGTGGGAGTGCTGCCAGTGTGGGGCCTGGGAGACACGATTAAGTGAGATATGGTCTTGTTTCCAAAGGTTTGTTCTGTGTGGTCTGAGGTGGTGGCCCGCAATTATTGGAGGGCCGCACGGGATCAGAGGGCTATGGAGCACTGCAGAATTAAATTAATTAAGAGGGTTTCCAAGTTTGTAGTGCATACTGAGGGTCTCACGGTTCGGCCCCGCATTTTTTAACGCAATGTGGCGGTCTATTTTCGCCCTGACGGTGTCCACCTTACCCATGTGGGCCTCAATTTATTTAATTTGGCTTTGCTGGACGTTCTCGAGCAGACTATAGCTTTGGTTAGGGGTAAAGCGGCGGGTAAAGTCCTTGCCAATCCAGGTTGGAGCAAGAGTACATGGGGAAAGAAAGAAGGTCGGGGCTGATCCCTCCCCTAACCTCTGGTAAATGGTTGGCCCACTGAGCCAAAAGGCCGGCTGGTGGTTGGCATGTTGGTAAGGTAAATCCAAGTTGGAGGCCAGTTGGTGGTTAGGAAGAGGGGGGGATTATTTGTGATTGGTGCTGGGATGAGCTTGCAAGGACAAGTCTGTGGATAAATTGCATATCATGTTGACATGTTAAATAAGTTGTTATTTATTGATTAATTATACTTGTTAAATTATAAATAAAGCTGTGGCCTGTTTATACCACAAATATGTGACAGGTTTTATTTGGGGAGGATGGGTGGTAAAGAAGGTTGGTCGCACTACATGGTACCCACTACCTGCACACATGTAAACTCACATGTAACAAATGACTCATTTGTCCTTTTTCCTAACTGAGGCCCCTTTCCTTCATTTTCATCTGTAAATACTGAACAAAAATATTAATTGAGGCAGTCAGCTAGACCTTTATCCTCTTCTACATACCTTCCTTCTTTTGTTTTTAATCTAACTAATGCTTGTTTTACTTTTATTTTCTCATTTATGTATCTAAAAAATGTTTTGTCCCTTTTTTTTACTGACTGTGCTATTTTCTCTTCTGTGTGTGATTTGGAAGCTCTTATAACTTGCTTGGCCTCTTTCTGCCTAATCTTATAGATCTGTCTATCTTCTTTACTTTGTTTTTTTTTTATAATTACTAAATGCTAACTTTTAGTTTTTTTCACTATTTTGGCCACATCTGCAGAGTACCACAGTGGTTTCTTGAATTTTTTACTTTTACTGACAAGCCTAATGCCATTTTTTGTTGCCTTCAGCAGTGCAACTTTTAAATAATCCCATTTCTCTTGTCTTCTATTTAAATTACTCCAGTCTGATAATTACTCCTTTACACATATTCTAATTTTAGAAAAGTCTGTTTTTCTAAAGTCTAAAACTTTTATTTTTGTGTGGTGTGACTCAGTCACTGTTCTTATATTAAATCATACTGACTGATGATCACTGGATCCTAAACTTTCACCTACAGGGATATCTGATACCAAATCTCCATTTGTTAACAATAAATCTAGTATGGCCTCATTACGAGTTGGCTCCTCAACGACTTGTTTTTGAGACAATCCCAGTAGGGAGTTTAGAGCTATTTTGGTTTTCCAATTCACATCAGGAAGATTAAAGTCACCCATGATGATAACTTCCCTCTTCATGCTCATTTTAGCTATTTCCTCAACTACACCCTTGTAACGGCACCCCGAGCATAAAAGGGGTTAAACCGCCATTTAGTAGATCTTCCCTTCCAGAGACACAGGCATAGCTACTGTAGACACCAATCCACCAAACCAGAGAAGCATACGAATGCTGTAAACAGCCGAATAGGAAAAACCATATGAATAGGTTTACACTCCTAGCAGTCAAACTGGAACAGTACAATAAATCCCCCCAAAAACGAGACAAAGCT